CGCGTCTACGTCGCGTCAATCGACGTTCATCGACAGATAACACGGTAGCTAGATTAGGCAACTCGAGCTGTAGCTCGAGCGGTCCGTAGCCGCGGAGAGCCGCTCCATCAACGGCTACAGTCGACTCTGTCTTAACCCATAACGGGTCGTGGAACCCAAAAGTTATGGGTTTCTGCAGACTATGGGTTACCAGAACGTGTGACATTGTGTGACTACCTAGTACGCGTGACAGACAGCCTATCCGGTATAGGCCGGACGTCGTTTATGACACCGTTTAGATACGGAATCTTGAGTCTGGTATGGGTTATCTTCTGAAATACCACGAGAACCAAAAAATTAAGGGTCCAGATGGTCCAGATTCTCGTGAGAAGGAGACCTGTACCTTCCTAATATAGGTTGTTTTATGGGTTATGACCCTTCAAAAAGCTATGGGTTATGGGATACGGCAGACTTATGGGTTTTTACTATCTACCATGTCGGTGGAAGCCAAAAACCTATGGGTTATTACAGGTTATGGGTTATGACAGGTATGGGTTAAGACAGAGTCGACTGTACGAGCCGACACAAGAATAAAGGTGCCGCTCTCATTGGCTCGCAAATTCTGGCTCGAGCCGCTGTTCGGTCCGGCACGGCACGCCGGCTCGAGCCGTGCCGTGGCAACACTAGTCGGAGGTCACATGATAGTTTTCTCGAAAAGGTAATATTTGGTCGTGTTTACGCGGGGGCGCAATAGCAAAGACGCTCACGCGTCTGCCAGAAAAGGCAGCCTCTTCTCCCCAGAATGGCAGGGGCGCGACCGATGGACTGGAAGCCTCTTGCCGCACTTCGGCATGTGTATGCGCGACTCTCAACAAACTCTCAACGTAAGGTGCTCGATTAGGCGAATTATTTGCCATAGATTAAATCCAGTAAAAGCATAGAATAGTCGCCAATAGGTAGCCTAGCGTAGGACGGGCATAGAGAGACAGAAACCAGGAGGTGAGCGGCGTGTCGCGTCTGCGTAAGTGTGACGCTGACTTCTAGCGTGACTCGCGCCTTTGGGTGACTACTAAGTCTGAGGTGTGGCTTGGGCCTCTACCACTACCAGTACTGCAGTTCGCACCTTGTTAAGCAGAACCAACATGGCGGCTCTGAAGAAAACCAACTCCGGCCAGGATCCTGTTACCACAAGGGAGTACAAATATACTCAAGAAATATCACAAATGGTGAGTCAGTTACTAGTACTCCCGACAGGATTTACGACCAATGCATGGACGCTAGATGTTTGTGTTTGGTGAAGTCCAAGATCCTAACAACGAAACTGTGAACCTCGTGGAGGACATTGTCCGTAGCCAACTGATTGAGCTGGTGAGCTCTGTCATGCGAGCGAGGCTGACATCGGCGCTCAAGCCACATACTAGATTGTGCAGGCAAGAGCCCTAGCGAACCGGCGTGGTGCACGTTACGTCTCCGCGGAGGATCTCATCTTCCTGATTCGTCACGACAGAGGAAAAGTGAACAGACTGCGAACGTACTTGTCCTGGAAGGACGTACGGAAGCACGCAAAGGACTCTGGAGGTGACGGCGGTGGAGGGGTCGAAGTTGAAGCATTAGAGGATGGCCCGGATGGTGAGTATTCAACCTTCTCAACTATTTGCCTGGACGTCTCATGACTGACTGTCCCGCAGACAAACTTGCGTCCAAGGCGCAGAAGATTACGGTGAAGTTGCCCTGGGAGATCATGACTATATACTCAGAAGTGCTCCCTTCCGATGATGAAGAAGACGAAGAGGATATTGAGGCTCACGAGGCGTCCATCCAACGACTCAAGGTTGGTATCAACGTCACGACCTGGACGTCGCTGAATACTGGCTTCATAGGAAGCAGATGACGCGACAAAAGAAATGACCAGAGAAGAGTATCAACACTACTCAGATTGCCGGCAAGCATCGTTCACTTACCGGAAAGGTTCGTAAAGCCACTCTTGTATGCCCTTCGTCGCTCCGTAACGCTCGCCACAGCAAAGCGTTTCCGGGAATTCCTCAATCTTCCAACTCATCTCGACCTGAAGGCCAATGACGACACAGTCGATATTGTTGGTTTCCTCGCCTTTGAGATGGTCAGAGCTCTGACCATCGGCGGGCTTGAAGTCAAGAAATCCCTCGAAGAATCGTATCTCCTGGAGGACCATAGTGCCTCCCCAGTCCTCGGCAAGCGCAAAGCTGGCGGAGGACTGGACGCGAGCAACAAGCGGAGACGCGAAGATTCGCCTGAACGGGATGACTATACTTTACCAGTCTGTTCCTTGTTCCTGGCCCCTCCCGAATCGCGAACTCCCCTGCGGCCCGAGCACATTCAAGACGCCTTCGCCCGGATGCAGTTTGACTGGGCCCACCACCGGTCTGCGGGAATGCACAACTGGCGCGGCGGCCTTGTACGGACTAGGGTCAGTCTCATATAACATTTCTATATATTGGAGGGACTATTTGTACAGTAGATGTTGTATTTCCGTCGCTACATGTATTGCTACAGAGTTTTTGGTATACCCTGAATATACCCAGTCTTTTCGCTATTGACTATTGGAAAAGAAGTGAAGCCGCCACGTCGATGTTGCCCGCCGCTGCTTCGAGCGTGCTGATCGCCAAATCCCTTGTTGCGCCTAGGTTCATGAGCGTCTGGATCGCTTCCTCCGAGAACTGTGTCCGTTGCTGTGGTGCGTTTGGAGCTGTCCTTGTGGCGCCGGCGGGGGCAGGTGCAGCACCCAGCGTGTTGCCTGAGCCTGGGAAGGGCTGACTTGGCCGTGGACCTGAGGAGGATGCCCCTGCCGATGCGCTGGGGACGTCTTCTGCGCCCCCGGATTCCATGATACGCGCTTTGTCCGGCAGCTCGTGTTCCGCAAGGAACCTAACTTCCCGGCCTTGGATGCGGAGCACGTTCTTTTCCAGGTCGATACACGCCTGGTGAGCTTTTAGCATGTCCAAGCCAAACAGGAGATCGACATCCCTGCCCTGCCGTAGAGCTTATTGTCAGGCGTAAATGAGGTCCGATGGGATAGCGGACTAACCTCCATGACGGTGAATGAGCACGGCAAGAACAGGTCAGCAACTTTCATCTGGGCGCTGTGAATCCTGCCTAAGATTTTCGCTGTACCAACCCCTCGCGCAATGCCGGCGAATCGCTTGTCCAAGAGGCGCATTAGCCTATAGAACCAGATATGTCTGTCAATCGTTCAAGTCGCAGACACGATACCCGTACCCGCAATTCTCTGCACATTCCGGACTCACTAATCATACGATATTGAGTAGCGTATTGAGGATATGGTAAGAGACAACCTACTAATGGTTTGCTGGGCTCCGCTGTCTACGAAAGCTTTTACTGGGATACCATTAACTTCCACCGGAACGCTGCACAGGTCAGCTTACGCGCCGAACAGACACCAAGAGAAAGAGCAACACACTAGAGCATAGTCACCCTGCCAAAGCTTTCGGGGGAATACTCCAGCGCATGCTCCAAATTCTCCATGATAGCCTGCTGTCTGATCGCCTCCTCTATCCGCCGCTGCGCCTCGATGTCGTACGGGTCGGCATTCAGCTGCTCGATCTCTCGCTGCCTCTGAACCTCCGCTTCCCGAATGCGGTCCTGGGTCTGGCGCAGCAGCTCAGAGAAACGGGCGGGATCAGACTGCGCTGCTGCAGCCAGCTCGGGGTTCGACTGCAGTTACCCTTACCCTTAGCAGAGTGGGACGGGGGCTAAGATCCAGACTTGGAGCTCACCTCCCGTATCTGTTCCATCATGTGGGGATCGCCGAGTAGTTGTAAGCGCATCATCTCCGCATCCTGCGGTATCTGTCTTGTTGCAGGATGAGAGCCCACGTCGCCAAATTCACCAAACGGAGTCGGACATACCTCCCCGCCGCCCTGACCTTCCGCCGTAGCAGCAGCATCGCGCTTTCTCCTACCCCGAGGCCCTGCATGGTCGCCTTCGGGTTATTCAGCTCCCTGTCCTCGTAGAATATGCTCTGCTCATCGATGGGAATGCCAGACTACGCGAAGCAATGAGTTGACCGGAGAGCGCACCACAATGACCACACTGACCTCGGCCTCCAGTAGCGCCATCACGTTCTCCAGCTCCATCGTCGGGTCTATCTCGACCACGTACGTCTGCCCGAGGTCATTCATGAATGTGAGTTGCATGGTGGGGTTGAAGACAAGTCCAATTGCAATAGATGGCGGTGTGGTGTATATCTGAGCTCGGAACGTGTTGTATTTATTATTTCCGATCAGACACTCTCCGGTGGGACACTGGGAAGCCTCCCATTGCGGAGTGCATAATATGCATGTATAGACCACAGGAGTTACGCGTACGTGGATAACATACAAGAAGGTACTAGAAGATGCATCGCGCAGCACCGGAAGAGAAATGCATCTCATCTCAGTCAGAAATTTAAAGGCCTGCATGCGCGTCTTGGATTACACGTCCCGTACATGAATTGTGCCTCGAACCGCCGTCCAAGCTGCCTAGTGTGGCATCCATTTCACTTCAGAGAGATGGTCTCGTGCAGAGGAGGAGCTGATGGAAGACCGGGAGTAAGCCACACCGCGCGATAGTAGCGCAACTCACAATTTCGAGCCGGAACATCAAGGTGCTCGAGCTGTCCGGTTAACGAAACTCCAAGGTCCAATTGACTTATTCCATTGGGCCGACACGAACGAAACGGTCAAAGTGGGCCGGCAATGTTGCTACTTGTACTCCGTTATGCATGCTACGCCTTATGGCAACTCGTGCCTGTAGCACCTCTGCCCGCGCCGATGCCAGACAGAGGTCGTCCCGTAGCTAAAACCCTTCAGAAACTCCGAGGGAGCGTCTCAGAATGCTCTTATACGGTCCTATATCTTCCTCGTTGATGATCGCGAAAGTTTGCGGTGACATTCCGGCGTACCAAATGTCGTGCGCGGTATACGGCGAGGGGATATGCGGCTGGAGTGGCGTTCAGGAGGCGCCGCAACGGTAAGCCCTGGCTTCGGAGACCCCAGACAGAGAGCCATGCGGACGACAGGCAGCGGCGGGTTGTTCTCCGAGAAGAACCTGACAAGAAAGGGGTCCATCCCCTTGAAGATGTGCTCCTGTATCTTGTCGGTGAACAAGAGTCTAGATCTCCGGTTGGAATAATCAGCCAATACCTACAAGAGCTCGGCATTCAAAGAAATACGTCTATACAAAACACAGTGTACATACAGGAAATGGTGCAGGTATTCGAAGATCGACTGAGAATCGTGTCGCATTTGAATCAGAAAAGCGTACGCGTCGTGGATTACGGCGCATTCAGGGCTTGGAAGCTGTTTCGAAGCGCATCCAAGCTGCTTAGTGTGGCATCCCTTTCCGACCAGAGAGGTGGCTTCGCGCAAAGGACGAGCTGACGAAAGAACGAGAGTAAGGTCAAGACTCCGCTGGACAGCAGTTACACTCACAATTTCGAGCCACCGCCCTTTATATTAGACATGAGGGCACTCTCTAGGGCTGAAGCAGAAAGACTCGCGTCTTCGGTCATGCACTATCAGTTAATCACTTCTGATGCACCAACACTCCGGACCTACCACTTAGATCGCTAAAACTCGACGCAGACGAGCCATGATTGCTGCTCCTCTCACTAGGCGTCCTCTTCGCCACCACGGGCATAGTCGCGTACCGCATGTGAGGATGCCCGCGCGCGTTGCCGTGCGACACGGTGGGAGGACTCGTAGACTTGCTGGGAGACATGTGCCGAGCCATCGGTGAGCCACGGCGAGACTCTGGAGGTGGTGACGGAATCGACGGTATTGACCCTTGAGGAGAACCCGCGCTTGATAGACTTTGGCTCCTATCACTAGGAGGCGCTCTGGAAGAAGAATCAGCGGGGTGTAGCCTCGGAGATAGGGGGCCTATCCGTCCGCGATTCACTTCCTTTCCCTTGTCTCGACTGGGAGACACGGGTGATCGGATGAGGCCAATAGTATCGTTCGTTATCATCCTCTGCAGGTCCTGTAATTTGCGTTCCAACGCTTCCTGCTCCTCTGCTTCCCTCTCTGCCTTCTCGGCTCTGGCGGCTTCTTCCTCCGAGTCTTCCTCATCTTCAGACGAACCTGAAGGCGAGGGAGGGCTCAGAGGCGCGTTGCTGCGCTTCGGCCCGCGCAGAGTAAGTGTGGACGATGAGGAAGTCTTGTATACGCGCGAAGGCAGGGAGCTGAGACGGGCACGTCCACCAATCGGCGTGGACAGTCTCGTCGACGATGACAACCTGCCGCCACCCACCCGACTAGAGGCTCGGCGGTCTAAAGACGGCTTGTCAACAATATCCGGGAAGTATTCGGTGTTCTTGCTTGGTCCCTGACAAGCAGAGGTTGGGCTCAAAGCCCCCTTGATATCCTGCAACCCGCGCAGGTCCTGCTCGTATCTCGTCTGTGCCCTATATAGCAGATACGGCAGGGGGACCCGCAGATGCGCGGCCAATCCTTTCCCTGACCTCAGTAAGAACACAGCACTGAGCAGCTCCGTTGTAACCCATGCTCACAGTCTGTACCGCCGCTGTCTGCGGCACGCGACCTTGCTATCACCTCCCAAAGGATATTCTCCTTCTCTGTAGTCCATTCTATCTATGCTTTTCAGCATATCATATGAGTCTATTGAGATTATGACTGGCATTCACCTTGGGCGGATCGGGGGGCGCGTCTTCCGGGCGGTTATACGGGAGACGCACGATCACACGAACCTTGGGCGCAGAGCTCATCGCGTCCAGACGGTTATCTCTGCCGAAGCTTGGATGAAGGAATAGAAAGGCGTTCAGGCCACGCTCAGAGCAGCGTCCATGAAGGCTGCAATTGCTGAAGCAGCCACGGCGGTAATGAAGCAAGCTTGTGAGACCGGAAGCACGCCGTGCGGCACGTCCGAGTCTTCCGTCGCTGCATTTCAGCCTACAGCCTCCATGATTTCATTTGAACCGCAACCCGCGACCGTCTGCCGTCCCGGCGATACCCCTTCCTAGCATCGAGCGCGCGATGGATCAGGAATTGCAGGATCTCATAGACAAGCTGTCTGCCGACCCCGAGCGGGAGCAGGTGGCCACGGAGATACAAGGTACGCTTGGACGACGTCAATGGTGTCCATCTGCGTGACTATACGAAGCCTTGCAATCTATCTACGGAGACGAGGCCGTTAAAGTCTTTCATCCCTCTCAGGAGGACGCCAGCAACGGGAATCACTCGAGTGAGAATAATGGCAAGATTCGCTATGAAGTTACGCTCAAGTGAGTAGCATAGATCGGTGCATCAGGTATTCCTGAGCTGACAGAGACCAGTCTGTCCCCGCCATACGAAGACGTCTCCATCCGTATCCTCGTCTCATTGCCCCCATCCTACCCTACAACCTCCCCTCCACAACTGCAGCTGCTCTCGCGATACATAGGCGCCTTCGGCGTGGACTCTGAACTATTCGGGGCGGTCCTGAAGACCTACATATCCATCACCGGTGTCCAATTCACCCCCGACACAGTCTGCGTCTTCGACGGCCTGCAAAACGTCCTCGACCGCTGCGTGCGCTGGTACGAGGACCGGCTGAACGCCGAGAAAGCGGCGGAGTTGGTCCGCGAAGACCTGGAGAGCCATCATGCACTGGACTCGGAGGAAGGCAGCAGCACACAATCCCCCCATGAAAGTAGAGGGCAAGAGAACCAAAGTAATGGCAGCGCCGCGCCTGCCGCTCTCCCCTCCGGCGTCCATATGTACACCGCAGAGCCTATCACAGATCGCAAAAGCGTCTTCATCGGGAGGGCCTTTCGGATATCCCATCCCTCGCAGGTACCGCCTCTGCCCTTCTCCTATTCATTCTCGGGGTCGAATATTAACACCGCATCTAGGTTCCCCACATCTTGCAATACCTATTGTCGGATCGAAGGACAGCCCGCGCCACCCATCCCATCATCCATGCGTGGAGATGTCAAGTAGGCAATGTCCTACATCAGGGTATGTCGATATCCTTCTCCGTCGCGGATACCCGAAAAAGACCAATCCTCCATTTTAACTCGCTTTCCCTTGGATAGACAATGATGACGATGGGGAAACAGCGGCGGGCGGCAGAATAGCCCATCTGCTCCATATCCTTGTGAGAATCCATTCATCACATCCTACGTCCGCTGCATAGTCCCCTCATTCCTCGATTCGACGCTGCATCAGGAAGTAAACAACGTCCTGGTCGTTGTTACTCGCTTCTTCGGCGGCATCCACCTCGGCCCTGACAGGTTCAAGCACATCAATCAGGTTGCACGCAATGCACTGGAATTGGGCGGATTCTTGGATTCTTCAGATGCGCACAAAAACACCGGGAGAGGGAAGCAAAGGAGTTAACATTGACACGGAACACATGGGGATATACAGCGGTTGATCTTCGGATGGCCCGCAAGAACAGCGATATGAATCATAGTAAGAAGTGTTGCATAGCCATGTACAATGATATTACAAAGATGCACTCAACATTGCTACACGGGTGAGAGCATATCATCCATCTCAAGGTCAGATCTTTTTCTTCACAAACCACCAAAGGCGATGAACTTGGTGTTCATGTACTCATCGATGCCGTGTGATCCTTCCCGACCTATCGAAGCAGCACATCAGCAACACTCCCGTGGACACCGAGACGAACTTACCCAGCCCACTCTCCTTCACCCCTCCGAAGGGGATGACCGCCTGGCTGATCGTGCCCGTGTTCGTACCAACCATGCCCACCTCCAGTGCCTCCGCAACCCTCCACACGCGACCAACGTCCCGCGAATAGAAGTAACCCGCGAGGCCCACGGGCGTGTCGTTCGCCATCTTGATCACCTCCTCCTCCGTCTCGAACTTCACGAGCGCCGCGACGGGCCCGAACGTCTCCTCGTCGTTGATGAGCGCGTCGCGCGGGACGTCCGAGAGAACTGTGGGCGCGTAGAAGGAGCCCGGCCCCTCGATGCGTTTGCCGCCGATGAGCACTTGCGCACCGCGCGACACGGCGTCGTCAACGTGACGGGAGACTTTTTCAATGGCTTTGTCATGGATCAGAGGACCGTGCGTCCTGTCAGGGCGCGGGATTAGCTGGGGAATGCAGAAGGGCGGAGATGCTCACGTCTTCTCTTCTAACCCGTTGCCGACCTTGAATTGGGCGACCCTGTCCGCCAGCTTAGAAGCAAAGTCCGCGTATACCGATGACTGAACGTAGATCCTGTTGGCGCACACGCAAGTCTGACCACTACCTCGGAACTTGCACATGATAGCACCTGCATAACATCCCTCATAAGCTATCCGCCTGATGGCTTGACATCAACCCACCTTCAACAGCGGCATCGATGTCGCCATCAGCGAACACGATGAACGGCGCATTCCCGCCAGCCTCAATCGAGACCCTGCACATCGTCAGCGTCTCCCTCAACACACGTGAGACATACAAACGCACTTCTTCAGCGTGGACGCGGCCAACCCGTACAGCATCTTCGCGACGGGCGTCGAGCCCGTGAACGAAACCTTCTTGACGATCGTGTTCTGGCACATCTCGCGCCCCACCTCGTTCACGTTCTTCTGCGTGGGCACGATGTTAATCACGCCTGGTGGGATGCCGGCGCGACTCGCGAGCTGCGTGTGCGTAACTCAGTACAGTCAATGAGATTGCCTCTGCATTACGAACCTCTGCCAGAGCGAGCGCGGAGAAGGGGGTTTCGGGAGGGGGCTTGATGACGGCCGTGCACCCAGCTGCGAGCGCGGCGCCCAATTTGCGAGTAATCATTGCCGAGGGAAAGTTCCATGGAGTTAATATCGACCTTCAACGAATACGATGAGGATGGTCGGCTCGCAGCGGCAAAATGACCATACCTACACAACACCTGTGTCGTATTATGTCAGGACGAGTTAGACAGAGAGGAGAAAGACATACCAATTGGTTGTTTTACGACGACATTCCGGATTTGAGGGAACGGCGAAGGGATAACCTCTAAATTCAACCGTCAGGGGATGCGCAATACCTGCACAAATAGACAACACGTACCGCCGTATGTTCGAACAGCTTCTTCCGCTATACGGGGAGGTTAGCAACCTTACTCCGCATCATAACCTAGGATTCTTACCAAACCACTACATACACCTCAGTGTACATGAGGGGACAAGACGGAAGCTACTCACCTCGATGAACGAGGCACTATAGGCGTGCTCGCCCTTTGCCTCGGCCAGGCCTTTCCCATTTTCCAGAGTCTATCGTCGCTTGCTCTGAGACACATGCCGAGGGATCGAGTGAGAGACCTACTCACGATAATCCGTGCCAGGTCCTCCGTGTTCTCTTGCATGAGGGCGTAGAATTTCATCAGTAGATCGTGTCTTTGCTACGCAGGGAACAACGTTCAGTTTGTCTATACCCTGTCCTAACTAAGAGGTGCACACCTTCGCGGTAGTTTTGCTCCAAGACTTGAACGCTTTCGAGGCGGCCTCGATGGCCTGCTTCGTCTCCTCGAGACCCATGTCGGGCACGGTGCCAAGTTCCTCATCAGTGGCAGGGTCTGGCACATAATCAGCAACAGGCAGTGCACAAACTCGAACGAAATGGAGCGGACTCACTCGTTACCGTGATCTTGGCCCCTTCCTGCGCGTCGACCCATTGACCATCGATGAGCCCCTGAGTCTTGACGAGACTCGGATCCTTCAGACCCCACTGCGTATACCATGTCAGCTCGCCATACACGTCTTCCAACACCCTCCGCATCACACTGACCGAAGACCCAACAGTACTAGCCATTCTGAATAGGACCCCTGTGCGTGTTACGGCCCTAGCTTTCGATACGGCCTTGAGAGACAACGAAATGGATGCTACGCGCAAGCTTGATTGTAGGGGGAGCATCCCTGCAGAGCAGCTGGGCCTGGCAGCTGCAGACTTATAGCAAGCCTTGGGCTGAGCTGGGGAGCGCGATAACTAACTTGAAGTGCTCAATGACTTCATGGCGAACGTGACCGCTTCTCGCGCTGCATGTGACCCGGCGCGTTGGGAATACATAGTCCTCAAGACCCACAAAGGCGGAATGGATACATGAGAAAGGGTAACATTTCCTATCTTACACGCGTCGTACACAAGTTATGCCAATCTATAGCCGTAGCACCCAATACTAGCCCAGGAAAATCCGTTACAGCTTAGCCTTGATAGAGCCTTTGCCCTCCTCCACAACCGAATTGACGCAGGTCCCGATACCGTTGCCAACCCACACCCTGCAGTCATCACCGTGCTTTAGCACGACAGGCGGCTGTCTGACGAAGCCAACGCCCGCGGGGGTACCGGTCATGATGATGGAACCAGGCAGGAGCGTCGTGGACTGCGAGAGGTAGGAGATTGTCTGGCGGACGGTGAAGATCTGATTGCTGTAGTTACATCACAGGAGGGGGTGGGGGAGTCAGTTGATGGATGGCTAGGTGATGTTCAAGGCGAAGTACGTACGCAGTCGTGCCGTTCTGCATGATCTGGCCGTTGAGTACAGTTCTCAGCTGGACCTTCTGCGGATCGGCGATTGACGTCGCCGCCACGAGACACGGTCCGATAGGGTTGGAATCATCTTGGAAAAGTGAGTTATTTCTTGCCCTTCCGCGACATTATGCAGCTACATACCGAAACTCTTCGAGAAGCCCCATTGGGACGTGGCGAACTGATGCGTCCTGAACGAGACCTGCAATGTCATAATGATTGAGCCAACGCGACGAGGACAGTCTCGGGGCCTTCACTTACATCGTTCCCACCCGTGTAAGCCAAAACGTAGTCCAAGGCATCCGCCTCAGATACGTTCTTCGCCGCCTTTCCGATCACGATAACGAGTTCCACCTCGTAGTCGGACAGGTGCTTGTCCACTGGCTGTGCATATTTCGGCAGAGAAATGGGGGCGAGCGGGCCAATGACTGATGTCGCGGGCTTGTAGAACAGGACCGGGGCACTATTAGGCATCGTTAACATCTCACAGTCGTTGTAGAAGCGTGTACGGCATACGCGGGCTTAGCCAGCTTTGCTTCTGCCTGCTCTCGTTTTCAATTGGTGTACGCAAACTGGGCGTACTCAAGGAAACGCACCGCATGATCAGCATAGTTCAGCCCCAGACACCTCACAAGCTTCACCTCCTCCCTCGTCAGCGGCGCGAGCAGCTCCTTCACGGTCAGCACGTTCTTCGTAACCTGGGCGGCCGGGTCGAGCGCAGACCCGAGAATCTCATATGCCTTGATGGGTGTCTTCTTCTCGTAGGCGGCCAGTCCGACTATCACGGTCCCGTTTGAGGCTGAGTCGTAGATTACTAGGTTACAAGTAGAAAGGATTGCTCACCATCGAGATGCCTATCTACCGGTTCTCCCAGGTGCACCAGCCCCGTCTCAGCAGCTACGAAGCGGATCAACCGCGTCCATTGCTACGCGCACCACTTTGAGCCCCTTCAAGTTGCCAGCAAGACTTGGACAACTCACAGTCTTTATCGGCGCCATGGGTATTGCACGGAAGTGGGTGGTTAGCAACCTGAAATACGCTCGCCGTGCAGCGGTGGAAGTCCGCCATTTCTCTGGAGACGGGGAGGAAGCGGGACACCGTCGGAGAAACAGATGGACCAACCTCACGTGTCGGACGCGTTTGTCAGTGTGATCAGAGGCGTAAATAGACGCCTATAAACGCGCGCGGGGGCAATCTTACATTGACAACTCTCACTTTTTCATAGATGGATGAGAAGAAAATGAGTACTGGGAGGCATGGAGTACGTCACTTCATGTAGAGCTTCGGTAACTTGATTGTGGACTAAATTATGATTCGGTAGGGAGGTCTCTGCAAGCAACGCCGATACCCTCGTACCAACGCAGCTCCACAAGAAATAAAAGAATATATTCTTCGCGAAATACCTTCAGCTGTGGGGAACACCCTGAGAATATCTTGCACGTCAATAGTCGCCGGAAGTCCCAGTAATTGCTTCTGTGAACCAGGTGGACACTGCCTGGAACGGGCTGATATCTCAAGGGTTAAACGCGACAGGCAGGCTATTACGCCGTCCCCTCTCACAACAACCCGGCGTATCGGCTGGGTATCACACGGACAAGTACCTGGAAGAGCAATGTTATGAAGTGGGCAGCGGCTGCAGAACGCTTGCCCATTAACGTTTCGTCTGGATACTACTCAGGAATCCCAGTATGTTCCCGCTCGATTCCTCTGACCAGCAACATCGTAGGTGTCGTTTGCGCGGTCTTCCACACTTCTATCTAAACGAACACATAGTAAGTTTTCCCATTACGAGACCGGTGAGCAATGCCTGATATGTGGTCCACTCGCCACCCTGACGACATGTGAGCAATCTTGAGAGTGGGGGGGAAGGCGACGAGCAGCAGTTGAAGCTATGTGCTTGTCGACCGCATCCTCTAGATGATCTGTCAATAGTACCAACCGACTTCTTCAGGTCTCAGATGGCCATCAGCACGGTAAAGACATCCACAGATGCACCTTACCATATGGCTTATTGTCCGGTGGTCCTGGACGAACCAGGCGAACCCTTGTGCTGCGAAACCCTAACCATATTGAGAACGTTTGGAAGGATCGCTGGGGTTGAACTTGTGTGTATGACTTCGGTGCGACGCCGATGTGCTTGATATCAGACCACTCCTATGTGAGACATTCATGTTTACTAGTACACCGTATATATATACGTCCCTCCTCCGTAAAAGTTACTGCGAGGATAATGTCCCTCAGGTGCTTGGGTCTTAGACTAGCTCTCGTCCTCATGGCTTGTCTCACCTCTGAGTCTGGTCAGTACTCTCAAGGGCGGTAGCTACTTGAGCGCTGAGTCGCCGTTTTAACTTTGCGGCCTGAGCCTCGCTTCCAGACTCAAACGAAGGATAAGCGCCCTCTTTTTTCATTTCCACATCCTCGAGAGGATTTAGGCCGCACCGACATCGATATCCTATGTCGAGGGACCCGCAAGCCTATCTTTAGACTTCACCCTAGGTGCTCCTAGGTGCAGTTCAAGTGCTGGATTTCCCGACACAGTGCACCTCATTCGCTCGCTCCTCGCCCCCCATCCGTACGCGAACCTCCATAATTACCCCGCCGCTATGCGAGCCGATCGTGATGTCGGACGCGACGAAGGACGGACGAGCCAGAGCCACAACGCCCGTTCATTAAGTTGCTAGCACGTGGTGGCTGTCATGGTTTCCCTTTACGGCATTATATCCGTCATCACTCACGGCCGCCTCGTGCTGAATGGCTGACAGGAACATGCTGGTTGAACTTGCATAGCCTTCTACGATTCCCCCTTCGCCATGGACTTAACAAACGAGGAGATGAGGATGGTCCTCCAGGACGCGCTGGACGACGTGAGTGGCCTTCTGGACGATACAGGACACCGCTGACACGGCTCCCGCAGCTATGTTCGCCGAGGACGTCGATGAATTGCAAAGGCAGAGCGCTCCAAGCAATCCACGAACTCATGGGAGATATCTGCATCCCGGACGACCCCGCTGCGGACGATCGTCGCGATTATTTCCTGGCCCTCCAGGACACGTTCGAATGCAACAGTACGCCCCAGCTCCCGCAGCCTCTTACCCGCGATCTTTACTGATTGCCTTGTTCATAGTCCCTTCGCGAATATTGGATTGGATCTCTCACAGCACCGTTCGCCTGGAACAGTTAACGTCGAAGGAATGTCAAGATCGTATGCCACCCAAGCCCTTGTTCTCGTTAGCAATACTCACATATGTGACAGATGACCGAAAGGACCAGCTCAATGCCTTGGTGCCACTTCTAACGCGGGCGTTAGGAGTCATCCAAGGTTTCCCGCTTATGCACAAGCCCAGCAAAGCCTTCCTTGTACGGCAGTACAGCCTCGAGGTTCGTGCTCCCGTCAGAATCATCTTATCGGTCCTAACTATCTCGTCAAAAGATCCTCGTCGACTTACTTTCGGTTTCGCGGCGACTGCATCCTGCCCCTTCTACTCCGGATCACAAGCGGAGCAAATCTACGTCTTCGCCACACCCGGGCCACCGCACCCCACCAATGGAACTCCAGATTGCCATTCTGGATACCCTCATTTGTGCCTTGGTAGACTCCGTACCGGGTTTGCGGATCTTTGAGGAAATTGACGGCCTAAAAACCGTTGTGAAGGCATTGAAGAGGTCGCCCTATGATGTATCGTGAGTAACGTCCTCGATGCCGCGTTTCCTTGTGTTAACCCCTTGCAGTATGAAATGCATGGCATTCATCTGCTTCTACATGGGAGAGGATGAATTTGCATTGTCCGGCGATAGACCGCCAGCCTCGGAGACGCCTCGCCCTGTGCCACCTGTGCCTACCGCCCCTTCCACACCCGTCCGCAGCGGACACTCCAAAGCGCGATCACTGGCAGCCCGGCTCGAACTCCGACCCTCGCCATACGCGCTCTCCGGGCACTCATCCTCCTCATCCGAGTCCTCCGCGCTCTCCGATGCCGAGAGCTACACGTCCGTCGAGTCCAGCGCAGGGCCCAAGACCCCGCCCGACGACGCGCCACTCCACCACCCCCTCTCCGCGCTGCGCAGGGACGCCGACGCCATCCCGCAGAGCCCCAAGAAAGAGCGCTTCGCGCGCCTCGGCCTCGGCTCCGGGCCCAGCTCGCGCGGGGGCCTGAGCCCGATTGGTATCAGCGGCCTGAGCATCGAGATGACGCCCAGCACGCCCACGAAGGGCGAGGGCCGGTCTTCGTACGCGGACTCGGACGTGTCGTGCCTGTCGCCGAGGAGCCCCGCGGGGATGTACGACCGGCGCAGGCGGCTGCGCTCCCCGTCCCCGCCTACCCGGCAGAAGGGGAGGGGAGAGCGGCGCTTTCGCCCCAGGACAAAGGAGGAGAAGGAGGAGATCCTCGCGGGGATGGTCGACAACGTGGACTACCTCCTGGAAAACATGCGCAAGGTCGGCATTTGGGGTGCTTGCTGATCTACGCGAGAAAGAGTATTCTCCAGACACACACGGACACATCAACAACATCGTTCTATGAAATTCCCTCCCCTTCCCTTTCGCGCTTTTATTTTGTTTGCTGTCGACATTGCTATCGTTTTTCTGGTTTCGTAGCTTTCGCGTTGCATGCACCATACCGTGTATCCCAGGTGTCCATGTTGTAGCCCAGTATTCCCTCCCCCTCCTCCCGTTTTTCTCGTAACGCAGTATACGCCGATTCACGACTTCAATGATTTGTCCTGTTACGACATGTCCTTTATACTAGATTATAGAGGCTCCATGACCGCTATACTCGCATCCGTGCCCGAGACTCGTGAGATGCAGAAGGCTTTCGATGCTCTGAGTTACTGAGTCCCGCAACCGGCGCACAAGGCGTAAGCAGATATCGTCTAAGCAATGATAGCATTGACAGAACATATACTAAAGAATCCTAGAAGTAAATAGAAGCAGAGAGTACATGCGTTGGAACCCTGTCCGTGGTCACGCGGGCATGTACAGAAGATGTGGTGGTCCCTATGAGCTGGAGTAGAATCTCCAGGCGAAGTATGCGACCAGGAGAGACAGCGGGATGAAGTACATGATACTAGGTGGCAAGCGGATGTTACAAGAGTGCGAGGGGGTGGGGGGGTGAGAACGTACTTTGAACCTGATTGTACAGCGCCCTCGAAGTTCGAGGCGGTTGCGCTCGCAACTTGTTTGGCACCCTTCTTGAGCTCCTAGATAAATGACGGTGTTGTGAGTGGGTGGGGGGACGCAAGCAGAGAATGAACGTACGTCTAAAGCACCAAAGTCACCAACCAACATGGCGGGCATCATGGCACGGGCCTCGTCGGAGTGTCCGACGTCCTCGAATGCCTCCGTAGCATCCTTGCCTGTAGACGGAGCGGGATGTCAGAGAAAGGCGCTCAGGAAAAACGTACGATACGCACCGGCCTCGGCGATCATCACCTCATCTCCTCCCGGGTGCTAGAGAACGCAGCACGCACTGTTCAGCCCCTCCCGACGTCTCTCTAACAAGCGTCGAGCACTCCTACCTCGTCGATGAACTTTGTGACATCGTAGACTGCAATGCGGGGTGAGCCAACGTGGTCGAAATATCGGAGTAATGATTGGCTCGCGGCAGCCAGTGTTATCTACTGACCTTTGCCGTTGACGAGCAGCCAGAGCTTGTCCTTGGACGTGTGCTGCTTGAGCTCCTCGAGGCTGACGACTTTTCCTTCGGAGGCCATGGCGGAGAGTGGGGGAGTTGGAGGGGGCAGAGAGCAAAGCTACTACGTGTCTAAGTCGGACGTTGCAGGACGCCTATCCGCCCCTTATATTGGCTGTTCCCACGAATACACGTTATGATGCGATAGGAAATTTCCTCCGCCAGCGCATCCCCTCCGGCCGCGCGTAACACTGATTTCGTCAAACCAGATGCAGCGCATTTGCTTGCGGGCCCAGGATCGGAACGACGAGGAATGTTCGCTTCGAGACTCGCCCAGTCAAACGCGCGCAGAAATGGATTTATTCTGGTATTCAACGGTGTAGTCTAGACACGGATGTACGCAAGGTTTAGTACTCGAATGACCATATACACAAGGGGCAGTCAAGCGTGGACCAAGCAGAACTATTCTTCCATCTCGATAGTAGAGGTGACAGAGCATGAGATGGCCTCGGATGAGGTGCCCTGTCCCTAGGCAAATGCGAGTGGGTCGGATCACATCTTACAGCAAAACCAGGGGCCAGAAATCAATCGTTACCAGTTCATCGAGCAGCAGAGCCTTGACAGAGAACAGAGACACGAACAACAACTCGTTGAGACAAACGCCATTGTGGCAGGACCGACGCTCGAAGAAAAATTGCAGCCACTCAATATATCTGCCACAAATTGAGACTCCGCCTAAATGGCTACGCGTCTGATGGGCGTGTGGTAGCCACGCTGTGGATCGCCCAGCTCCTCCTTGTATTCCACTTCACGCGTCGCGCGTCTGCTCCCCCGCCTTCCAGTCCCCTGGCCGTCGCTGTCGGCCGCGGTCACGCCGCCATGGACTACTATGATACTTCCGACATTCTGGCCTCTCGTGCCCGCCCTGCAGTCCGCCCGACGCCGACCGTCACTCCCCCGGTCGTCCCCAGCTCCTTTTCCCTTTTCCGCCTCTCATGGCTCGCTGCGCTCGCGCTCATCGCGTGGCTAGTGATTCTCCAACTCAAGGTATATCTCAACAACTGGCAGGACAAGCACTACAGGCTGTGAGTGCTTTGTGAAAAAGAGACACTGATGCAGGTCTGATGTGGCCGATGCCCAGGTCGATGCGTAGGAGACACGGTATCCCGGATGACGACCATCGCCCGTTCAACGTGGCATATGCTGCCGCGCGGCAGATGAGGCTCTCGAGCGGTGAGTCGACACCAGAGGCGCAGTCCTTGCCCAGGCCGCGAGAGAACTTCCGCCCAATACGTGTCGAGTCAACGGATAGCTTGAGGTATCGTCAAAGGCCTGCGCAGGCAGGTACGTTTCATAGAAGCTGTGCTTGAGTCTATCATGCGTCTAATGAATCCTCGTGTCGTACATCACACGACTTCTTCTGTAGTACAATCTTATCAAAGCGCTCAGCGGTCGCATCTTCGTAATGACGGCAGCACTCTGGCCAACGATGGCATATCGTCAGTCTCTCGTCCCCCGTACGATCTCGTATATCGCTGCTGACCTGATTTTAACAGGTATATCCCGAAGCTACCTGCCAGGGCGCGGGAAGTAATCGTCGACAACGAGCTCGTGAAGGAGCCCGCATCGCCGCCGATCCCCCAGTCGTCTCGTATACAAACGGTCAGGTTCGCCGACGATCGCGAGGCGAGGCCTAGCGCAGACAAGGTATCAAGAAAACGTGGCTTGGATGACGAAGCTGATGTTGAGGTCTCCAAGCGCACGCGGACAGGTGGCAGGGAGGTTATCGACGTCGACGACAGGATGGACGAGGACCTCCCACAGAAGCGGGGTTCGAAACGCGGTCCCAGTCCAGAGGAGGATGAGGGGTATAGTTCGCGGCAGGAAGGTCGTGAGAAGAGGATCCGGAGGGTGTCGGCGGATAAGAATGCGGAGACTGAAGAGTTGATGGACACGGACGATGTTCCCAGAGGTAAGAAGCGGGACCGCGGGGAGGCGGGGTCGACCTTTGGCGGAGACGATTATTTGGACTTGGATGATTTGACTGGCTCGAGGCGCCGGCGACGGCGGATGGAGAAGCAGAGGTCGGATGTGCAGCTACGTGGGACAAAGCGTGATCGTGACTCCTCGACTGATGAAGAGCTTGAGGAGCTGCTTGAGGCAGCCGGGGCGCCCCGGAAGGATAGGGTGGCTAAGAAGCAGCGGGCCAAGGGGGCTTTAGCGGAGGAAGAAGAGGGAGACCAGTCTCTTATCGCATATGTGGACGATGAACCCGTCTCTGTCGATCCCCTCTGTAAAGGCCGGAAGATTGGTGAGGAGTGGGAGGAAAATGGGGAGCACTACAAGGTTGGGCCTAATGGGCAGAGACTCCGGCAGGCCTTGGTCAAGAAGTCACGGACCAGATTCCCTGGCATGGTGAGTGCTTTACTACGATCGATTCAGCTGAGTCTTGAAGGTAATTGCTGTAGCCGGTCGATTCAATGCATCCGGACAAGAGGGCTGCATGGGATGTTTTCGTGGAGAAATGGCTCTCGGAAGAGGAGTACAAAGAGGCAGAGGCTCGGCATGATCTGGCTTGGCAGGAAACGCCCGCGGGTACACCGCGGACACTCTACCTTGATGAGGATGGGAATATCCTGGTCCGTTTGCTTTCCATTTTGCTTTATCCCAATCCTCTAACGGGGATTTGTCTGCTCCAGGATACTCCTGGGAACAAGAGCTTGCTGTGGGCATCTCAGTTCAAGGAGGAGAGCCCGGTTAAACCGGGTTCACTGAAGCAGTCGGTTGCCGTGATTAGCAACAATAACAATAACAACGGCAGCAAGGGAAGTCCGTTCGCTTCTTCCCAGCGGGGAGCTCCTGGTCGTCGGATAGCTTCTGTGTATGCTACGGCAACGGCTACACAGGACAGTACTCCGACCGAGGCGACCCCTACGAAGAAGACTCTGTCTAAATGGGAGAAACAGGACCTGGAGGCTGCGGCTGTGCAACGGATGAGGAAAAAGGAGCAGGAGATCAGGGAAGCAGAGGAGAGGAAGAAGGCGGAGGAGCAGAGGAAGAGGGACGAGGAACAACGGAAGAGGGAAGAGGAGCAACGGAAGAAGGAAGAGGAGCAGAAGAAGGTGGGATCAGCGCCAGCCCAAAGCAGTGCTTCGCCGTTCGCTATGCCTAAGCCTCCTACTTCGGGTGAGAGCAGTGCACCAGCTCCTCCCGCGATTACCTTCACTGCGCCTTCTGGAGATTCATCGAAACCGCCCGCCTCTGCTCCTGCCCCGACACCGTCTGGACCATCTACCGTGCCTTCCTTCTCCTTGCCTACCGCTAGCGGTGACTCCTCAAAGCCTACGTCCTTCTCATGGCCCCCGGCTCCCGCACCAGTAGACAAGGAGAAGGTCGCCGCAAGCGGCTCTGCGTCTGCCCCTAGTGGACCGGCTGCCCCGTCCTTCTTCAGCACCCCGCCCAAGCAACCGACCCAGGCGCAGCCTGCCGCTGCGCCTTCATCGGGCTCCAGCATTCCCAACTTCTTTGGGCCTAAGGGCACGAGTTCGACTCATGGAGTGACTACCCCGCAGTCCAATCATACGGCTGATATGAATGCGTCTACCACGCCGGCGAGCGCGCCTCCCTCGCAGCCATCGTTCTTCGGCAATCCTAGTAACGCTCCTGCAGCGCCGTCCTCGGCGTCTCCGTTCACTTTCGGCAATACTGCAGCACCACAGTCGTCTTCGGTGTTCGGTGGGGCGGGCGAGCAACAGAAGAAGGTGGAGGGAAAGCAGCCAGAGCAGGCGCCCCCACCTGCCGGTGGGTCACTGCTATCGCGGTTGGGAGGTTTTAGCACGCCGAACTCGGGCACGTCGCAGCAGCCGTCGGCTGCCCCTTCTCAAGGTGCTACGTCGATATTTGGTAACCCCGCACCTTCCTCGCAGACGGGGGCTGGTCAAACGACTTCGATATTCGGTGCTCCCAGCTCGAACTCTTCTCAGCAGGCTACGACAAGCTCAGCTCCTGCCCCCGCGACTGAACCGATGAAGCCGAAGTTCAAGTTTGAGACTCCTGCGACTCGCAGCGCTGCTCCGTCGCCTGCTCCTACTCCCGCGGGTTCCGAAACTCCGAAATCTGGAGGGTTTACTTTCAACTTTGGTACCTCAAAGCCTGCTACAGGAGGTGCACCAAGTGCCTCGGGTAATGCGACTGGGTCGGTCTTCGGATCCTCGTCCGCTCCTGGCGGAGGGAACAGCATGTCAACCAATGCGTCGACATCATCAGTGTTCGGGCAGACCAGCGCCCCTGGCGCGGCGACTACTGCGTTCCCGTCGACCTCTTCAGCTGCGCCGACGTTTGGTTCCACTACGTTTGGTGCTCCGAATTCGACGAGCCAGCCGGAGGCACCGAAGTCGGCTTTCTCCCTTCCGTCCTCGAGTTCATCTGCGTCCCAGGCTAGCAGCTCTCCCTTCACCTTCGGCGGAAAACCCGCCGAAACCGCGAAACCTCCTCAAACATCCTCTGCGTCACCTTTCTCATTCCCAACGTCTTCTGCTGCGAGTTCGTCGAAGCCGGCCGAGCCGCCGAAGGCCTCGTTTACCTTTAGCGGTTTGTCTGGTGCTACGGGAACTGGCGGGCTGCCTACTCCCTCCGCCACTGAGAACAAGACCATGTTCACGTTCAGCGGGCTATCAAATCCGTCTTCGTCGAACCCCAGTGGCAGCTCGCCGTTTGGAACGCAGGCCTCCGGCAACAGCGCTACCTCATCGAACATATTCGGGAACCCTTCCACCCCCTCCACTAGCCAACCCGGTAGTAATTCGGGTCTGGGTTCCTTTAAATTCCCGACCGCTCCTTCGTCGAGTACCTTCACCTGGCCAAAGCCTGGTGAAAAGAAATAAAATGTGTCTCCAACCCGTTTTTTGTTATTCCTCTGGCCTCTCTCGCATCCCTCCGCACTCTGTAGCATACGCATTTTGCCACTCATCAGTACCATTGCATGTAATCTCTCCCGGTTTCTGAAGTTGATTGGTTCTCGTTTGTACGGGAACATTGCATTCGCCGTTACTTCCTTGTCCCGTGCTTGATATTTTGTCGTGTCCAAGGTTTGAAGTTTTTTTGTGCGCCGGGGAATCTACCAGCCAGGTGATGCTATTCTGTATCTGGCTGGACTCGAGCAGAGCTCTGAGCTTCGAGGAGTATTTCCGAATTTTCATTCCGACGCGACGCGATCCATGACGATCACGTGCAGTAGCCGCCCAGGCCTAACCATGTGCCGCCGGCACTTTGTCAGCAGCTGTCCGGTTTCCTCCTTATGACGCCACACGAGTGGCTGACGGGACGAGGAGAGCCTGCACGATCGCCGTGCTACGCCGTGTCTCCAGCTATAAGAATAGACAGTCCACTGGCTGGCATTACGATACAGCCCTCTATACCCCCATAACGTCTTGTAATTGTACCCGCCTTTTTACTAGACAAAGATGAAGGCAAGTAGCAGGAAACCGTGTGCTCGCAGCCCGTTTACTGACGCGAACATTACACAAGTAGATCGTTAGCTCAGATGACATTGATAACTACCAGCGCGCGACCGCGATTGGAGGCGCCAAAGGTTTCTTTGGGGGTCTCGCAGTTGCTGGACCAGCATCCTACATTCTGAACAAGCGATGGCCGTACTACCGCCAGCTTCCCCCGTCTCTGAAGGCGTTCGGCATCATCTTGGTCGCCGTGCCGTCGTTTGTGATTGCTGCTGAGCACGCGGGGCAGAAGTACGAGAAGGATCATTGGTGAGCTCCAATCTTGTACCTGGTTTGCGGCATGGTATTCACCGGGAAAATAGGACTGGTGTGGGGAAGGTCGAGTTGGACACTGCAGCAGCGAGGGAGCAAGCCCGCTGGGAGGCTCTGAGCCCCTCGGAGAAGGTGAAGGATTGGGCTGCTAGGCATCAATACGGTGTCATTGGCGGCAGTTGGGCTTTGTCCATGGTTGGCTCGTTCGGCTGGATCATGCGGGACCCGTAAGTCCACGACATCCCTCGTTTCTCGCTAATGTTTGGTGCTGACTTGTACCCCGTCGCATTTAGACATCAGTCGTTTGCTCAGAAGATCGTGCAAGCGCGTATGTGGGCGCAGGGGTTGACCATCGGGGTACTCCTAGCCGCCGGTGCAATCTCGCACGCGAACCGCCACAACCAAGGCAGTGCGCGCAATGCGGTATGTATCATAGTTTCTTTGGGATCGTCGCAGCCGTTTTCTGACCGGTGTGGCGAGTACAGATTCCAGACCACTCATGGAAGGACATCCTTGAGCAGGAGGAGCGCGTTCAACAGGAAGCTCGTGCAGCTCAGTCTGCATCGACGTCTGCTTCTGCGGCTGCGCCTGCCTCGTCGTGATTCAAAAGTAGACTACCTTGGGACTATCATTAATATGGACGTACATAAACTCCTGTGTAGTATAGAACTATCGTATCATGAACACCCTCCGTCACGAAAACCGACAGCGAGCGATGTGTGGTCGACATCCTGCATTGCCAGAACCCGAGCAGTCCTCAATCATGGTGCATGATGGCTCGCCAGCAATTCGAGAGATAAGCTTGTTTGCAAATTGTACGCGAGGGGGACAGACAGACATTCCTGACGGTGAGGCCCGGTCCACCAGAGGTTGGACAGGTAGAGTCTGGTAACGACGCTGCTGAGCCAGCAGAAGGTAATTGTGACGTCCGCACATAATGGCTGCGTGCTACGACGGAAACTTGTGCTATGAGATCTTGGCACGCCCCTCGGTTCATGCAATCCGCAGAATCCCAGGGCAGTAGTGCGGAGGGTAAAGTTGCATTTGTTAGACGCCGTAAGAGTCAGATCAAAATCTCGGGTGTCCAGTAATAAGGCGGGTGCCAACACCGGTCCATGCCCAAGTCGAGAGGTGTCACGATGTCGCCGCTAGTCCGTCCATGTTTATGTCGAGTTCGTCACGAGTTAGTTGACAAGGCATCAGAGCTTCAATGGCTCTTATATTCCGTTCGTCTGAGGCCAGATGAGAAAGGATGAATGAAGTAGAGAATGCGGACTGGAGTCGAGGAGATGGGTACGAATCGCAACCATTTCCTCGACTCACAGTCCGCTGCAGGAGCCAAGCAGAGACAGTGATGCTGGCCGTGCTAATTGACTCACAGGTGGTCGCGGTGACACAGCGACAGATGATAGCTTCGGTCGTCGACAGCTTGAGCGCGACGCTTGAACCGAGTACGGTTAAGCGGATGTCCGAGCTGGTGATAGAGGGGTTACAATAATGAAGTCCCTGGTACTAGTACTTAAGCTTGGGCATAATTGATTAGTCTCGTGCCAGTGTGTCAAATATCTTCAGGTGGAGACTTGCCTGGATAAGTGGGGTCCTGGCTGGTACCCTGGCATTGGTGTCCCCTAATAACGCACTGGTAGGGACGGCTTACTGGAGCTCACGCACGACCTCACAAGTGAGCCGGTCGGGAGAAATCAGTGACACGAACAATTCTCTTGACTGACCTCTCAACTCCAATTCTGCGATGCACCTGTTGTTGAATCGCGATACTTGACGCTATGCTTTGTCTACCCAGGTAAAATACCAGGAAGTTAGGCGAGCCGCGACACGAGCCTCGTGGACCTCACAGACTACAGTCCCTAAGTTACCTTGCGACTAGCAAGGTCTCCGTGCGACTAGCAAGGTCTCCGTGCGACTAGCAAGGTCTCCGTGCGTCGGGAATTGAGCCATCATAATTGTATTTGTTTGTGGCCTAGGAATCGAATCCCGTTCAAGTTCCATTGACGTCGCATCCCGTACGTGGCTTCATTAACGTTCGCTCAAAGTGTCTCTGACCCTGAACCCAGCCCATGATTAGTATGTCAAGAAAATTTTACCCTGTGATCTAGCAAAGTCTCTGCAAGTACTGCGGAAGTCAGTCTTCCCACGGCGGAGTTATTTGCATTAGTTTCTCTGTGGCTTGGTGTATGTTTTGGTCACATTGTCTCCTTGCTCTGGATATTCGCATCGTGAATTTTCCTGTCGTCAACTTGTAGTATAAATCGTACACCTGACTCTCATTCCCTACACTATCTTGCGACTAGCAAAGTTGTTGCGCTTCCGGAACTCCGCCATCAAAAGTGGTATTTATGTGTGGCAATTGATGACCTGAAGACCACTCCTGTTCCTTGATCTCTGTATAACAGCTTACCGTTGTATTCTCCACAAGCAACTTTATCCCTATGACCTGCAAGCAGTAATTCATCATACTAGAGACCCAGTGGAAAGAAAATTGAAGCCAGCATCAAGTCGCATTGACAAGGTATACGCCGGCGATAGCCGGTGCTTCTCGAGTTTTGCAAAACCCTATGTAGGCATAGGTAGGCATGCGCTTGACTTTCGCGAGGGTGGCGTACTCGGCAGCGTGCACGCCCGATTTCCCTTATCCTTCCCGCGATAGTCTGAATAACTTCCGCACGACCGGTGACTGTGCCGAATCGCGACTTACCCTCTTACGGCCCATTCACATGCGGTCGTACGTTCAAGTCCTCCCAGATGGAATACCAAATGCGCTGAGATGCAGTGTCAATGCGAGGAGGTCTCTCATATGCAAGCGGTCTCGGCTGTCTCATTTCGGCTGGTAGGGACCCAGTGAAAAACCAGTTCGCCAACTTGCAAGCCTGGTTCTAGTCAGGAACTCTTCGGGCTGCCCCACCACGACCGGTGCGCAGTATACCATCCTGGGTGGCCTCTATCGCATCGTTACTCAATCCCGCCTGCTCCTTTAACCTTAAGCGAAGAGAGGCTGCTTGCTGACATTGAAGACTTTGCCCTCAGCAGGATCTCTACTGAGAAGCCGTGATCCGCCGTTCATTGCCTAGGGTAATATTTTCGATCATATCGCAGCGCATACCTCATACCATCGTCGATACGGAACTTGACCTAACTCGTCCCGCTCATCGCTCACGGGACGTCATGTGGAATCCTGGTGACTAGATTTGCTGAGGCCTGCACGCGTGAAAGCAGATGCTACTCGGTAAGACCGAGGCCTTTATCAGATACGCTGCGTTATCCTTACGTCCGTTTGCCCCTTAGCGATGACAAGACCAGGAGGACGGTAACTCCACACCCGCAAACGTAGCGGCGGTAGCGCTGCCGCTGTCGCCTCTCACGAACGGTGCATGAGCTCTCATTCCTCGTGGTCCCATTATGGCAAATGGTGGTCGCCTATGACTGGAGAAACTGTCACCCGAAAGACTTTACCATCTGCGGAATTGCCCTGACAGACTAGCCCAAAACCTTGGCGCATAGGCGGGAGGATGTCCACCGCGTATAATGGGTCGGAATGGTCCTCACCTTCCTATACGTCCCACAAAGAGTGGGTCAAGGATTCAATCGATTCGAGAGTTTGCTCACAACGACGCATAACCCTCAAAATTCAGCGTGATCTGGTGGAGTACATGTTCGAATTCGCGCGGATCCGGCCCTCGGGCTACTTGATTAATTTTGGGAGCCATGAATACCGGCTACAACTGTTTCCTGCGCCCAGAAGGACCGTCTTATCCGACTCTCTGTCGCCGCAGGAGCGTATAATGCTACCGTGTAAAACTTGCCTGCCGCCAATGCTGAAGGACTCAGACGGACGGCGGACTGCAGCGTGCTTGACCGTGCCATACGAGGCCTGTGTCTGTCGGCAGTATATCACGTATACATGCAATGTCCATGCACTTCAATTGTATGCCATGATGCTCACTTTGATCAGTCCAAAGCTCCCAAGACTGCAATGGTGTAACTAAACGCCGGATGCTAGGCTCCTCCTAGTGCCAGTCCAATCTTTCGAGGTACAATTCGCCTTAGCCGAGGTTTTCGCCATTGCTGCCACCTTGTGGAAGAATATGCCCTGACAGTTTTTCGTCCCCCCGGAGCGTCGGCCGGGTATCTCGGTCCACATGACCAATACATGATTCTAGTGCGCGAACTACGTACGTGGGGAAGACTGGGGGAAGATTGGGTATAGCTAACGGGCTTTCTTATGCGTCTTCGTGGCGCTTGGACCAACGCCTATTCTATCTCCACTCAACTTGCTCTCACGTCTGTTACTGCACTCAACTGCGGCACTCCGACGAGTTGTACACTTGTCAAGAGCTCACTCAGAGCCCGCGATATCCTTGTCCCTCAGGACGACGTCCGAAAGTGGGTCGAGCCTGATCAAGGTCAAGAATACACTTCCTTCCTCTCCACGCTTCTCTATCCATTGACAGCGAAGTGCGTTCTTATCTCCTTAACGACCGTGTGGTACGCAAATGGATCTGAATCTCAGAGATGCAAATGCGCGGGAAGGCTTGCAATACAGTACGTACTCCCTGTCCCGAATCTATCGGTCCCACTGACAGATCACGAAGATTGATGAAAGTGCTGTATCTCCCGGGGAAGTCCCACATGCTCTGTATTCGGTATTATTCACTCCTCTATGGAGCCCAGCAGTGCGCACTGTTGCAGCGGTCTTGACTTGCATTGACGTCTACGCAATGGCAGGTCTCCAGGCAATCCGGACATCGCGATAATTCTAGAATATCGCCTTGCCCGCTGAGAAGTGGGGCTCGTCGCAAGTGCTGTAGCGGTCGCCCTACCCCTGATAAGTCAATCCGGCGGAATATCCAGGGACCTTGTTCTGCTCTGCTTTGCCACGACGGGATAACCTGGCCCTGCTCCTCGACAAGCTCGGCGATATGTTCACCACTTGAAAACCCCGGGCCGTGGGCAAATACCCCTGCATGGTTTCATTGTGTATCGGTGTGTTGCAGTAAACTGTCATCTCATCATCACAGCATTTGCATCACTTGTCCATTGCATTCGGTTGAGCGCCCGGATTGGCTCTTGCCCAATGCCGAACATACACAGCTGGGAAGATGGATCACGGCCCCGTCACTGGCAGTGGACATCAGCGCAGGACACGGGGGATGCCGGCCACATCTGCGTCGACATTTATAGCCATCGATCGTGGATTCACTCCGTCTGGCATCTCTCGGGCTGCACAGGTTGCTGTCGGAGGCAAAATGAAATCCTGTTTATTGATCGACTCAACGGGCTTCTCGTGATGAAGAAGCGGTCCGTTCTCCTAAAAGTGCACCGTACCGAGATATCACCTCCGCTCGTGTCCATGATGTATCAAGGATCTGTGCGAACAAGCTCATGCTCCCCTCTGAGCGGACTCGAAATGTACAGACACGAGTGTCTTATCCTGTCCTATCCAGCTAATGATGGGACAACCTAGCCTTCCCTCTCGGAGCTCTCCGCGAGGGTCACTGCTCCACCACTCGAACCAGGACCTACGGACTCACTGCGAACACACGTCCGAGCGTGGTGGTACGGCGGCCTTCGGCCTTTCAATCTCATTTCCTTCCTTTCTCAGGACCACCCAATAATTACTCGGTACCGAGTGCAAGGCACACAAAGAGGAGCAGCGTCAATTTGGCAGAGGCGGTGTGGCTCCCATGGTCGCAGGAATCCAGGCTCAGCCGTTCCCACTGAGGAATGAAGACGGCGTTGATGAGGGTAGAAAAGGAGATTTGGGGTACTCAATGCTTGTTTCGAACTCCAGTCCGGAGTGACCACCTCTTCGGCGAGTCAGTTACTATTAGAATAAGATATTGCAAAATTTCGAGCTCCCGTATGCCAAAGTTTGTAGACGACTTCGCGTCGGATCATAGACTGACGAGTATGTTATCCCGGTCAATGACAAGCCTTGGGGACTCGTCGCAAGATGATTATTGGGCTCCATGATCGCAGCAGAAGCTCACGGCCATGCTAGCATGTCCCCCCCCCCCCCCAAGAGATGTCACCTTAGACATATGTTTATAGTCATTGCAAAGAATTACTGACAGATGATAGGTCTCCACGCTGAGTGGGGGTGATTGGCTCCCGATAGGACTGCGCGTGAAATGCACTGCCATAGCTCATTATTAGTATTAATGCAATAGCTATAGCATACGTCAATGACTTAATCTCAACGGTATCCCGCTCCTACCCAATCGAAGAACAAGCGTGAGTAATTCGATGCTGGGGCCACCCATAGCGGGATCCAGTACTAGCCAGATCCCATACGAGGACGCAGGACATCGTGCAAGCATCGGTCCTTGTCCGATGACCGTAGTCCAAAGTCCTTAAGCTTCAGAGGTGAGGTCGGGGCTCCACATACCGGTAGATACGCCGAACTCGTCAACGGCGGAGGAGCGTAGTCCGCCTCGGAAGAAGACTTGAAAACCATAGGGTCACAAGCCCAGCGTGGGCCGTAAAAGGTGTAAGGACCATCGAGGCAGAGATACAACTGAGCAAAGAGCCATCCTTCCAACCAGTAGTTTGGATCGTCGGTACGGTGATTGCGTTTGCCAGCCGTGCAGATGACTCTAGTTAAGTTTGTCTCCGAGTATCTCACGACCTTACAAGCCGTCCTAGAGATGTGGTGTTTACTTCTCCACTGGTTCACCGGGTTGACTTGTGCACGCTGCTCTGAAGGAGGTTTGCATGCGGAACCTAGATACGAAATTCCGCTTCAGGTTGACGCTACCCGGTATTTCCATTAGACATAAAGGAATAAAATGTCCTCGGGAATACACAGACCAATGTATCTCCATCGAGCTACGGGTATCTCGGTTGTGCGACTGCAGAGAGCCTATCTCATCACAAAGGAGATCCAACATCAGCCATACGAGATCAGTGCGTGTAGTAAGGCGCCGGCGGTAAGGCCGTGGGAAAACACCGACGGTTTCCATAAGTGGCTGAGTTCGGCATTCACCGAGTTAGTTTCGCTCGCATTTACTCGTGTTTGTCTTTCTCTCACTGCCACCATCTTCATCTCCATAGTTAGTGTGGCGTAGTGTAGGCTCTTGTTCTAAAGGTGAGTATTGACGTGGAATGGTGCAGCGTAAATACTCTGCACGGCGACGTCCTTCCTCTTTCCTCTGCCACGTTGAGAAGATTAATCTATGTTTAGGCTCTTACTAATAGAAGTCTGAAGTTGTTTACAATGTCTGTCGTTCCCAACATGGAGGAGGCTGGCGCCATCGCCGCAGAGTACATAGCCAGTAAGCTCTTGTTACCTGTTATTCAACATAATGTATACCCTCATGTTCGATGTCACAAGCTAAAGTCATGATATATCACAGGTCTTGACAATCTGCCAAATGAGGTTCAATTCCTCCTGGCTGAGATCAAACATAAAGAAACGAAATGCCAAGGTGCATATTTGTCCCTTCTCCAGAGTGAGATCTTCACTGACCGCTCCTTCACTCGTACCTTGGAACGGATGTGATGAATTGACGTGCTGCTATGCCAAATTATCGTCGCGTGGTTCTACTCGAAATAGAACTTCAGCACGAAATACAGAAAGAGACAACGAAATACATCAAGCATTGTGTTCGAGCTACGCCGCCCTCGTCGTCTGCCCCCTCGCCCTCACCTCAAACTCCAAACCCCTCCATCCCAAACTCGGCCAACCTGACGCCGAAAGTCTCCGCCTCGTATGCTCTGCTCGACCAACTGAACAGCGAAAAGATAGCACTCTCGCAGCGCATGACGGATCTCATTGCGCGCGCGAAGGCCCGCCTGGACTACGATCTGGCGCGGGTCCTCGTGGCGCAGGGAGACGCCGATCCTGCGAGCGCGAGTGTTACCGCCGCCGCTGCGGGTACGACTAGCGGGTACAGCTGGGCGAATCTCGGACCGTCGTCCATTGGCGCTGGGACTGGCTCTACGCGCAGCGCGATCAAGGAGGTCAACGAGCGGTTGGCGACGACCATCGCACTCCCGGAGGTGCCCAATCTGACGGCGACTGCGATGCCGCTCCCGAAACGTAAGTCTCGTACATCTCCGGCACTTGTTTACTTGCACAAGGATGAATGTACGATCTAACGTTCCGCACCTCGCGCAGGACGGAAATTAAATGTGCAGCCCTCGACTCCCACCATCAAGCTGCCCTCTCCATCTCCGTCCATAATCGCATCGACACCACAGCCCTCCGCCGCCCCAGGGCGCTCCCGTCTGCACAACCAGATCGGAGTCACTGTTCGCGGGCGGCGGGCCGCGCAGGCCGCCGTCAAGTCCGAGCAGAAAGAGGAGGAGGAGGAAGACGCGGAGGGCGACGAAGACATGGACGCCGAAGCGGAGGGCGAGGCGGAGGGCGCCGAGGTGGAGGAGGCCGGCGAGGACGACAGGGTCTACTGCTTCTGCGGCAAGCCCAGCTATGGCGAGGTGCGTGAGAGGCCCGCGGCGTTTACGGCAAGGAGTGACTTTACTGACGGTTGTGTTCGTTGTTTGTGTCTTCCCGGCCCGGCTCACCCGTTACGCTACTTTCTCCTCGTACGCTCGTCGCGCTGCAACGTTCCTCAGATGATTGGCTGCGACTTCGACGACTGCCGCCTTCAATGGGTGAGTTCCCCTTCCAGTCTAGTCCGCGTACGCTTCCGCGACCCCATCTGCATGTCGCGTTCGCCGAGGAGGCCGCACTTTGCTTGGCATACCGTCTCGTCTCTAATTTGTAGCATACCGCCACCTTCCGTGGGCCCTCCCCTCTTCATCTCGTCTCCAAACGCCCTATTCGTCCTTCCACACCCCTTGCGCGATTTTACGTGATCACCGCCACTAACACAACTATTATCACTATTTGTAGTTCCACCTCTCGTGCGTCAACCTCAAGCCGCCGCTGCCCGAGACGTGGTACTGCGACGAGTGCGTCAGAGCAGGCCGCGCGCCCCCGGGGTACCGCGGCCCCGATGCCCAGCAGCCGACGAGGAAGAGGGGCAGGAAGTAGATGCATGGAGACCGCCCGGTGCAGCCTGCTTTACCGGGTTTGGCTGCATGGTGTGCCTTTGTGCAGGCGCTTTCTGTGGAGTATGTATGTCTAGCGTAGTTGGCTGGGGAAACTCCCGGGTGTGGCGTGCAGGGCTGTGTGGGCGCTTCATTCTCCATCGCGTCCCGAAACGTTCGGGGCTAGTTGCGGTGGTAATAGGTTATCATGGGATGGGAATAATGGAGATGTAAGAATACAGTGTTGTTCGGGATGGGATGCTGCTCCCTGGAGCACTTCCGCCGCCTAGCGCGCATCTGACTCGAAACTACATAATCTACGGATTGAATCCACGGCTTGGTCTGAATCGACTGGACACCCGACGGCATGTCCGGTGTTTTGTCTGTCGCCCTATCCGAGTCGCGATCTATCCTGGACTGCGAGGGAACTCACTCTATCGGGCAGTAATGACGAACAGCAGAGAGCGCAGCTCTGCGCTGTATGCAACGATCTACCACAATAGTTCCGGGGTCACTGGCGATCGGCTGGGCGCTTCATGCTCTCCGGAGATATTGTCGCTGGTAGGAGTCATCGCGGACGGATGTTCCCGTGCGTCCGCCCTTCGTCCAGCGAGGAGCACAAATGCTGCGTTGAGCTAAACCCATATAGGTCCAAGGCTCGATCGCGTACGTATTCGACATAGACGCTCAGGCTGAACGGAGGTGCATACATGCCAACGTTCTGCCGGGGGACGAGAGCTCGTTATGCGTCATTCGCGTTATGACCTCTGGACCAGTATTCGACAATTAGAGCAACTCCTGAGAGCCCCGTGTTCATGAGAGCAGAGGTGGCGGAAGAGTGTATCGAAGGTCTTCACTCACACACTTTGGGATTGCAGACTGGCTCGCCACCTTCTGTGGGCGCCCGTGCCTGACGATGGGTGTCACGTACAAACATAGATGGAAGCCTTCTGGCGCACAGGCTCCAGCTCCCCCAAACGACGGATTTGACAGTGCGCGAACCCAGGTGAGCGCGATTATCGCCGGCAGCTGGGGGCGCCGGAGAGTCCGGCTGACGTTTCATTGCGAGCATCGAAGCCAGCCGCGAAGGCAATCGCCTGGCTCGCCGGTGCGCCCACAAGCCCGCGGCGTCAGATGACTCGCGGCTGTGCCTGGGCACGGACGCCGATTGTAGCTGCGCGGACACGCCACAAGGCCAAGCACGACGCGAGCAGAGGCGGGGAATACGAAAGCCAGTAATCGACCGCGGTGCCACAGGCAGCGGCGGCAGCAAAGGCGACCATACTATTCGCCGGCACAGCCCCGGATTTGTATGTCGATACAGTACGCACTCGTTTCCTTATCTGATAGGTCGTTCACTGGCCGCTGAGCCCTTCCTCCGAAGAAATAGGCTCCTGTGTCGAGCCACCGCCGTGGCGGGATGCGCGAAGCCAACGTCCTCAATTCCGGCCTTGTCGCAGAAGACAGAAGGAAGGCAGCCGTAGATAGACTGGCAGTGGCGCCGCTGTATGTATAGAGGATGGAGGACGTCATGCCTGCCCACGTCTACGTAGGAGGAAAGCACCTCGTAGTGATTCGATCATGCACCGAGCTTATTCCATCAGGATGCCGGACGTGGGAAGCCCGGCACTTGTGGCTGGGAAAGGCCAATGACTCTGAGTCCAGTAGAGCAGATACCCTTGGATTCCTGCCTGTCGCAGCAAAGCTGTCAAGCGGACCCTACAAGCCAATTCGTCGTCTACGGTCAGCCGACCGAGCGTTTCCCAGCTGGATGGGGGAACGTTGATTCCATGACGCTCGCCTTCGCTCATCGCAGCGCGGGCCACGGCCAGGCACGAAGCGGAACGGGGTACGGCATCTTCGAAGGAGAGGGTATATTGCTACTACACAGTCGCGGAGATTGGGGCATGGCAGGGAATTGCTGCGTGTCGGAAGCCTGTGTATTATTCTCACCCGTCCTTTTCGCAGTCACCGAAAGCACTATACCGTACACGAGCGTCGACGCTGACTGCCAGATACGCAGTCCGCAGAGCATGGACTGACACAAACAACCGTCGATCGAATCGATGACTGAGCCTCTGCATAATGAACGAGACTAGTACTATGCGAGTGCAGAGCGTCAAGTTTGTTTTAGTCGCCGGCGTTCAATCGAGCATGTACACTCTGGAGATCGCCGATTTGCTTCCGCTAGCAATCTGCACAGCCTCGGACACAACACTGTGGCATATGAGTCCTATAATATACGATCGGATACATGGCTTCACCGGATGTCCATGTCACCGCTACCAAGTGTATACTCTGGCATTCACCGAGCTATGCAGATAAGCTACTGCGCAAGTACTCGCTGCTGTACAGTCCACGACGCCCACGTAGAAACGCAGAGACTGCCACCACCCGTATTTATAGCGTACATACAATAACACAGGCCCAGGCGAGCAACGCGAGCCTATGTATAGGTCGTCTATGTACAGCGACTCGCCGTAACCTTCCATATACGTGATCCTGCCCTCCTCCAAGCCTTCTCTCAGGGCCGTCATGCGCGTCCGAGTCCGAGTCAATGCGAGAACTGGACGAGGAACGAGGAATGGAAACCTGGGCCGGGGCGCAAAGTGGACAGCGCTGGCGCGACACGCGCCCGCCGGGCACGCCTCGGGGTTTGTAGCCCCTAGACCTGGCTGGCCATGGGTAGTAGTAACAAAGACCAAGTTGCCAGCCCTGTTCGAAATGGGGCAAATTTGTAGACGTGACGGACCATTGTACACCTCGGACGAATCTTCAGGCATATACCTAGGCCAGGCAGGGTCGTGCTGGTACACAGCACGGACGCATCTTGAACGCGAATTGGGAGCAAGTGTACCGCACAGCACGCCCACGCTGTCCAAGCCCGGCCGGCAAAGTCCTGCGCCGCTCGCCTCCAGTCCAGCGGAGTGACGTACCCCTGCAAGAAGAACTTCGACAGGGGCGGGAAACACTGAGTAAGTAGGGTAGGTACAGCGACGCGCCAACCAGAAAGCCCCGGTACAGAGAGACAGAGAGAGAGAGAGTCTATTGAACACGCCGCGCAGACGATCGTCGGCTCCAAGACAGGGCAGGGCGGGGAATGGAGAGGAGGAGAGACGCGCGCGCGCGAATCGGAGCGTTTCCGGGTGACCGCGCAGAGCGAAAATTGCAGTCGCGCCATACAGTACATCCCGCCGCGCGCGCGCCCATATGGGGAGGGGCGACTGGACCCGATATCGGCCAGGATCGGCGCTCGCGGTCGCGTGAGGGCGACACGCACAGTCGAACGGCGCGGACAAACCAATGAGGGGTATGTAAACCTGCGCCCACACCTGTCACTGTCAATGTTGCTGTCGCTGGGAGACGAGTATACCCCCGTGGAGATCTGTGCGTCTGGAGAAACTCTGGCCAGCCAGTCCGTTGATCCGCTGGTGGACGGACGGTACCATCACGCACGCACCAATAATAGCCTTCGACCGCCTTCCATTCGCGATTCGGATGTGGTTCAGTAGTGACCAGTACCTTAACCCTGTGTCTGTCCGTCCGTATCCTGGCACGCTGGCAGGGATAGATCATTGTGCGCGAAACTCGAATCAAAGCCCAATCTCGCGAGGGGCCCGGTAAACCGACCTGGACACCTGCTTGCTTTAACGCGCGTGCCGTAGGCAGCTTGTTCGTGTCGCACGTCGCACGTCCCTGCCTCCCTGGCCAGTTATTCTCGTCGACGGGGGCCCATACACGGTAACAGTCCGCGGCTTTTCCAGGTCCAGCCAACGTACGCTGCGCAAACCCACGCACGCGTGCATGTCCATACATACCTACCTCAGCTGTCACCGCGCCACTGCGAGGGAACGAAAATGCCACCGAGCGACAAGTCTTTCCCGTCCCCGAGAGCTACGTAGAACGAAGAAGAAAATCGGACGTGCCCTGAATATTTTCGCGTCTCTTCTGGCGGCAGGCGGCTGGTAGCCACGTGTGCCGGGCGCCACATCCACACCGAGCGCGTCCTCGTGAATCGCGCAGAGAATAATGTACGCGGGATGCCAGCATCTCAGCATGCAGAGGGGGTGTATACGTAGATCGACTCCGCGGCCGCGCGCGAGGTGGAATATGGAGACAGCGCAGGGCGGCGGGCGCCATAGCGCGCAGAGAAATGCTAGAAAGTACTCTTCGCGCCTGCTGTCCTGCGCGCATGCCAGTCGAGTCGGCCCTTATCGAGGTTGAGCGTGCCCGATGCAGCAGAGACTTCATGGACAGGTATCTCCCGCCCGCCTTGCTTCTCTCAGGGACAGAAGGCGAAGCACAGACAGGGCGGGAACGCCCGACGCGAGACGCGGGCGCACTTCGCGCAGGCTTATCGGCCGGTGCGCATGGGACGGAAGGGGGGAACGTGGGGGCGTCGAGCATGTGGGTACGACGCGCGGTCACGTTCGTGGCGGCGGGAGGGCCTGGCTGGAGTCGGGGGAGGATAGTAGGCACGCTTGGTCGGGGGGATGACGAGAGACCGTGCTTTTTTTCTGGGGGATTTGACGATGCATAGGAGGTATGTAATGGACAAGGGGCGTGTATACGGGATCTCCTTACTCGTATGCGCTATCGGCGGGTTACACTTGTGCATTACTATGGATACGCGTATGGGCTCCTCGGAGGGGGCTGCTTGGCAGCCGACTACCACAGAGCTATATGAGACGGCAAATACAAGTCGTGTCAATAATGTAGTGTTGCTAGATACGCTATCTCGTGGTAGTGAGACTGGGACTAGCTAATAATTTGCTGTGTCCACACAGCTCCACGCACCCCGCCAGAAGGCGCCCACAGGGAATTTGAATACGGTGAGGAAGGCAGGAGAAGGAGAGTACGAATTTAAACGCAACCGGCGTAATGAACGAGTGAACGCGTCGCGTCGCGCGTTCTAAATGAGAAAGAAGAGGATGGGCGGTATTTTAGCATGTAGTAGCCTGTCTGTATCGAAACGTCCGGTGGAAGTCCCGCCCACCTTCTCTCGAATCACAAGACCGAGCCTTCACATTTTGAGTTGGGATAGCGTTTGTTTGTCTCAGCGGGAACGTGGTGCGCGATCGAGTGCGCTATCCTTTGTGCATCGAGTGCCTCGGGCGTATACATATATCAGGTGAGCGGGAGAGGGACTGGGAGGGGCGGCGCGCGAGCGTGTATGTTCAGCCTCTGGGGGCGCTCTGCTTCCTTCGTACACGGGATGACACACGGGGTACGTACTCGATACGTATTCGCTGCAGAGGGGGGGCGCTACAGCAGGCATCTGGAATTCATAAAAGGGGTCTATCTAGGACGGGGAGCTCGGCGGAGCGCTGTAGTGAATGGAGATAAATGTGTATGGGAATGCTATGGAGAAGAGCGTTGGAATTGCTGTACGCAGTGCACAGCACGAGAGCATGCAAAGGAGAGTAGCGGATCGCAGACAGATTATACGGGCGGGGGAAGAGCCAAAGTGAGGCGGGGGCGGTGAGCGGACGGGCAGCCACGCGGCTACGAAACTGGCTGGAGGCCGAGGAAGCGACTTGGAGGAGGAGGCTGGGGCTGTCCCCGTCGAGGGCGACAGCGCAACGCGCGCGGGCGTGGGAGCCGGCGTGGTGCCGTATGGGCCGCCAAAGCAAGCTCCGATAGGAGGGACGCGAGCCGCTGTGTCGGTTCGCTGGTACCGCTGTGCCGGGTCGAGCCGCGCTAGTCCATTATCGCTCAGAAGCACGGACCCCGGGCGGGCCCCGGGCACCGCTGCAGAAGCACAGGCTTACGCGAAGGGCCGGGTTCATGGGTTGGAATTCGAAGCGCGTCCGAGAGTCGTGCAAGTTGAAAAGAGCGCAGATGGCAGGCGAGCCGGGTCGTTATCCCCCTGCCCGCGCCTGCCATGGAGTTCGAGTCTGCACACAACGCCGTCCACTTTGACTCGCCGTACACTGCCTATTCAGACTCGTCCTCGGCGCCCCGCACCCCGTCCCCGCACTCCGGCCACCCGGAGGACATCATGGCGTCCCCGCCGACCTACAAGTCCTCCTTCGACCTCGACCCGCTCCGCAACATCCTGCACGAGCAGCAGCACATGGACGACGCCGTCCACCCCGTCTGGCACATCCAGGGCGGCCCGCTCGGCTTCCAGCCCCCGCCACAGCAGCCCCGCGCCTCGCTGCTCTCGGAGCTCTACGACCACGACCTCCCCCAGGACGCGTCGCTCCCCGGCACGCCGCACTCGGACATGTACGGCAGCCCCGCCGAGCCCAGCTACGGCCCGCTCCCCGGCGACTACCACCCGCACATGCACGCGTCCCCCCACCACCCGCTCCAGCGGCACCCGCACGACGTCGGCATGATCCGCCGCGCCACCTTCCCCTACGTCCGCCAGGACCACGCCTCCCCGACGCTCTTCGGCCCCGACGGCGCCCTCGGCCCGTACCAGAGCCGCGCGGACGCGCTCTACGGCGAGCCCCTCCCCATCTCCGCCGAGCCCCCCGTCCTCCAGCGCCACCAGGTCTACCAGCACTCCCCGCACGCCTCCTACCACGAATTCCCCCCGCCCGACGACTCCATCAAGCTCGAAGAGCCCGCCCACGTCATCGTCCCCTCCCAGCAGTACTACCACCGCATCCCCCACATGGCCCAGCACCCCCACCAGCACTCGTATCCATACCCGCCCCAGCTCCCCGTCCAGCACACCGACGACGCCGCCTCCAAAGAGACACAGTTCCTCCGCCGCCGCTGCAACAACTGCCACACCACAGAGCCCCCCTCCTGGCGCCGCTCCACCCTCAACCCGGGCAAGATCGTCTGCAACAAGTGCGGGCTCTACGAGCGCACCCACCTGCGCCCGCGCCCCCTGCGTTTCGACGAGCTCCGCGCCGGCGGCAAGGGCCGCAAGGCCAGCGGCGCCATGGCCGGCGTGCAGCGCAAGCCGAGCCCAAAGGTGAAGAAGGAGGCCGCCGCGGGCGCACCAGCCACCGGCGGCGGGGCCATCTCCCGCCGCGGGAGCGTGAGCAGCACCGCGAGCTCGGTGCACTCTGGCAGCGGAGTCAGCGACTGGGATGATAACGGTCAGCAGCCCCCCTCTGTCCCCTCTTCCCGACCGTCCAATTAAACCTGCTTTCCGCCCGCAGTGTCCGTCTACTCGACCGGCTCGAACCCGCCCTCGTCGTACCCCTCGCCCGCCGCGCAGACGTACCCGATGCGCGACTCTGCCAGCGCGTCGCCGCCGTCCTCGGCCGCGGGCATCCGCCTCCCGCCCGCGCCGATGAGCGACCTGCACGCGCACTCGCCGCTGCAGCACGCCGTCGCGCTCGGCGGGTCGCCGCAGCCCGCGGGCGCGGAGCTGCGCCCGAAGAGCCAGACGAGCCCCGCGTACGAGTACGAGCGCGCGGGCGACGCGTTCCTGCGCCGCGGGTCGCTGCCCGTGCCGCTTTCCGGCCACGCCGCGTACGGGCGCGAGACGGGGTGGGTGCCCGTCGCACCCGCGCCGCCGCCGGGCGAGGAGGCGGAGCGGCAGAGCCCCGAGGCGATGGCGTGAGCTCGTTCGACGACCCCCTTCTGGCGTCGCGCCTCCACCCCCCGCCCCCCCGCCCCTCTCCACTGTTTATAGTGCAAAAACGGAACATCACTGTATCGACTACAACCATTGGATACCTCCCGCCGCCCCCGCTGGCTTTACGCTTTCTTGTATCTTATTGCCTTGCCCTTGCCCTCCGCCCGCCCTCCTTGCAGCAAAACCCGTCCCGCGCGTGTCTTATCAATTGTTTATTATCTTTGCATTTTCCGCGGACGTATACCTCGTGGCGCTCTCCTCCCCGTTGTTGGCTTAACGTTATTTATCTCGCGACTCTACTGCAGTGCTCGGTGTTCATACATTCGCATCATCTCATCTCGTATCGTATCGGCGGTAAAGGTCGTTGTTATTATCTATTGGTCGGGCTCTGTCTCTCTGTCTGCTCCTTTGTACTAGTATCTTACTTGCAGCATTTTCGGCGTAGTACCCGGTGTTTTGATAGACAGACGTACGCGTAGTGGTGTAGATGGAACGAAATGGAATCGTAAAGTTGAATTCCTATCCTTGAGATTGAAAGCCTCTACACATCCATCCAGACTCGACTCGGAGAGGTCCTGTGGCTCTGAGAACGCGATCGAGATGCGGGGCGGGTCTGACTTTGTGCGTTCTCACGCGGCGGATACCATGGTTCTTCGTGCTGTTGTCAGATAATCTGCGTACCTCGCCCCGCGGAGGAGACGGGGCCACACTGGACTGTGGACACAGATCGTTCCTGTCGGGGCTTCATTTCCGCTCGACGTCCGGGTTTCGTATTATGAATCGCGTTTCCGAGTCTACACTTGGTACATATCGCAGTGCGGGATAAAGTTGGGAGCCAAGCCAAGCATCTCTCGGGCATGGAGGAGGCCTGCGCGGACTTGGACTCCGAGAGCCACCAGCCTCAGGAGATTCCTTTTTCTCGAGGGCGGCCCGGGCGGGCGCGGTCCAGAGCTCGGAGACCGACCGGCCGCCCCGTGCGCGCGTTATCTGGGTTCTTCTGTCTTGCGTGGGCGAGGTACGATGATACGTTATTTGGGCTCGAGAAGGAGGGGGAGGGGAAGTGCTTCTCTCAGGGCGGGTTTCGTGTTTCAGGTGGCTGGTGCGTCCCCGCGCCCGATCGCGCACGGGGCTTGCCTGGTGGAGAGATAACGCGACCGGTATGGTGCTGCAGGTCAGGTTATCTTCAAATTTGCGCGGTTGGTCTGAATCCGTATGTTTTCCTCGACGTCGACGCAGGCAGAGGGTGCGTTTCATGTTTGAAGTGCGAGGAGCCAGAGGGGGGGCGGCTGTGCGCCTGATGATACGGTGGGTCTGCTGTATTACTCCTCCTCAATCTGGCAAACCTTACGTCGAGGACGCCGGGAGCCAATGGCGCGCGAGGGGGCGGTGCGCTCGCGCGATTAATTTGATGGGGCTCGACATCATGCATCATCGTCATCATGGCCTGGGTACCAGTGATCTGCGATGGGCCGGTGTGGCCCGGGCGAGCGAGTTTGGTGGTGTGGCGTGAGTACGACAGGATCTTTGACGCGCGGAAGTATTTCGTGCATGTATTCGCGGGAGGAGCGAAGAAATGGAGAACGGAGAGCTGGTGAACGTGAAGGGGGGGGGGGCAGGGGGAGGGTAAACATATCGCGAGTGGATCCTGCATCAGGATCGGGGGAGACTGGACGCCCGCGTTTCAGATACCTACCCTACCTGCTCGCTGCACATAGCTAGCTAGAGAAAGGCTAAATGCACAAACTGCCTGCGGCTTTTTTGCGCAGTGACTACGGTGGAGGAAATCCACTTGGCGAGACGGGACGGGGTTGGTGCGCGAAGCATGTATACTAGTCCAAGTCCCGCTTGCGGCCTAAGTGATTGGTACTTACTGGGCTCTGAACCCGCTAACCTCAGCCTGAGGCCCGAGGGCGGAATGCTAGTGGTTGCTATAATCGACCGATGGGGATATCCCCTAAGCGGAGTATGCAGAGGGAGTGTCAGTTTGTAGATAGGCACAGATGGAGCGTGAAGGGGGGGAACAGATGCGCTGCGTCGTCAGGCGCACAGCAACGCAGGTAAAGGAATCCGATCTCCAGAACGTACAAAGGCGCGCAAGCCCCTGCGCTCGGGCAAAGAGCACTGGGTCGCCGACGCGTGGTGCTTAGCGCGCCCCAATGCCTAACGGGAACTAAGAATACGAGCTAGCTACAGAGCTCGATCGCGATGGGCCGTCGGGGAACGGAGCGGGGGTGGTAGGCGCCGATCTGGTGATGCACGGCACACTGTGCATCCGAGTCCTGCAGACCAAAGTAGTGCACCTGGGTGAGGGGATTTGGACTCTGTGGCGTGGTGGTGGGTAGTGGATGTACGCAAACATCCCGCAGTGGTAATCTCATACACGGATGCCACTCGCCAATTACACACGGCGCAGGGTGCGCCGGGCCAGGGAATCTCTAGAGGAGCCAGAGCCATTAATTAATTATAAACGGATCAATCAAGGAAGACGATGCAAAGATACAGTACCGTTGATAATACAATCCCGGCAACTTGATAATGGGGGTTTACCTACACTGGCGGGCCGTAAGGAAGCAGGTATGCTGCAATGGATCCCGCGCAATATCACTGGCCGGGCCGTGGATCTGTTCGAGTTCACTATCACCTATATATTACCACAGCTTTGACGGTCAGGAAAGATAGAAGGCGGGCACCCTTGGATCAGGGATGAACCTGCAGTTGAATGGACTCGTAAATTCGTAATCGCAGCTTAGAATAGGGATCAGTCAGATGCGATGGGGTGGCTTGGCTGTGATAATGGTGTAAATATCACTGACCGGAACATAGGCAGCTTGAGCTGAATCTGTTCAAGTAAAGCCGTTGAGGGATTGAGTACAAGATGGAAGGCTCCGGCAGTGCAGGGATCGGGGAAATGGTATTCCTTGGCTTGACTGTAGGGTGATACCTACTCTTGATTGTGATTGGTATACTAGTCAGTCAAGCGGGTTGCCAGTGCAAGTGTGGCTGCGTATGTGGTAACATTTCACCTGAGTGCATCTTGGATTAGGTGGGCAGCGGGACCGACGATGTTGGCGCGGGCGCCTCCCCGACTCGCATGGAGCAGTTCCTGTCCCTTTCAAGTTCGACCTGTATTGGTACACCAGGACCCCTGAAAATACCGATAGATGCCGGTGCCAGTCCGGACAAAAATCGCGGTCTCGAGCCCTCCATGCCAGACGCCATCCGGACAAGGATGGACGACCGAACTGGCCATCCCGGTTTTACAGTCCGGACACCGGTCATGACTGAGCTACCATGCCGGTTACAGTCCGGACACGGCTGTGTGGCAAGTTGGCAACGGACTGGCCCAATGTATTTACCCTTTGTAGTACATGTATTTTAACCCAAATATGGCTGAGGTTTGTCCCAACCTGTCATTGTGTACCGTCGCGTAGCCTCGTGTAGCCCTTATTTGCACTGTGATATATAGTTTCTAGTATGTAGCACAATGGGCTCCGATGTCCAGTGGCTGAATGTGGCTGAGATCAGGACGCTGTATTGTCAAAGTTTCGCTACACCATCACCACTTTACATGACTCTGGAAGCATGGATGACGCCCACAATACTTAACGTGTGCGCTTCGAGCTCGTTCATATGGGGTACAGCAGTCTCAGCGGGATTCACATTAGGGCATGGTAGACATTGACCTCACGGAAGAGGTGGACATCTCATTCAATCCCAAGGATTGGATTGGGATAAAGGCAAAATGAATGCCACACTCCAGGGTCTGGACTCGGATGGGGAGGAGGATGGTTGATGGGAGTGGGCGGCCTTCGTGAATTCTGTCGCTTCATTGACTGCATTCGAGTCCTAGTACGATTACTGATACATTGTACAGTGTTCTAATGAGTTGATAGGCGAGAAAACCTTTTTTCCTGTTTTTTCAGACGCCGGTGCATTAGTCCGGACAAAAATCGGCCCCTTCGGGAGGCCGGTATTTTATGCGGACAAAAATGCGGGGGGGAGCCTCAGACAATCCAGACATGGAAATTTTGAGTCTCGCACCGGCATTTATCAGTATTTTCAGGGGTCCTGGTACACCGCGGACTTGCAGCAGAAGGAGCTACCCCACCGAACCGCCGGCTATGAGTGGATCGAACCTGACAGGATGTTGATGAAAGAAGGGAACTCGCGCGAGCACTGCAGAGGAACCAAAGAGGAACCTCCTCAGTCTTCCGGGCGCAAAGGTACTCCGGACACGATGCCATGTAGCGCTGACAACCAGACGAGATCACACCTCCCGCGTCGACCGGAGCGAAGCAGGAAGAAGGGCAGAACGACTCTGTCAAGCCGACGTCGACGAAGCACGTGCGGATGGACGGATCGATCCTCATCAGCTTCGCTAATATACTTAGGCACGGGAGGGTGTGGCATATCGAGCCACATATGTCGAGAAGTTTGAGGGACGGCCTGAAATTCGGACAAGTCAAGTGCGGCGATGCATGACTCTTAGATTTGTTTGTTGCTTGCGGCAGGCGGTCTTCAGACTGTGGAAACTACTCGCGTACAGGGGGGAGCGCAGGATGTGGCAAAGAACTTGTATTCTTGCACGACCGCCTTGTGCGAGATCGTGCGGCAAGGGGGGGAAACTGGGAATTTCGGCGGGCGCACACAATGCCGAGGAGCATGACCCAAGCAACATTCTTTATCCACGTCGCCGCATTACACCCAGCGACGAGCGACGGTACGCGAGGGACGTCTGGCCCAGTGAGCAGAGCGATAACAAGGGCTAGGACAATCCGGGCGCGATCTCGGCACTGCCTCCCGCGAACGTGACGGTGCTCGGTCGAGTCCGCGCGTCTGACTCTGAGGTCATCTTTGGGTCATCCGCCCTGTCCTCGCTGCAATCTGGCTAGAATCGAGATATGCGCCCGCTGATCACACGGCTACTAGCAGATCTGCACGCTCAGATGCTGCCTCGCTGCGTGTCTTTGTCGCAACCTGCTGAAAGACGGAGGATCCCTCTGAACGCCAGTCTCGTCTCCAGTAAACTCGCGGGCGGTGCTCGATGGACTGCATCAACTGTGCCGAACAAATGTTGAGTTATCTATCTCGTGGGTAGAAAACTCGTCATTTCCTCATGACCGCAGTGCACTATCAGATGCACATGCCACCACAAATTCATTTACGTCTTGCCCTCTCATATGGCCTTCAAATTGAGATAAACGATACCGGGGGCGGCGCGAAGAACGTTCGACGAACGTGTTCGACGTCGACCCACCCTGACTTGCCTCTCGCGCCTCTACAGCCTACAGCTATTCAGGTAAATATCCAAAAGCCTCAATATTCTAGCGAGCGTGTGTCATTTGCTCATAACCCTCGGGAGGACATGATAGATCGATCACCATTCACTATGTAGTGATGTGATTGCACCTCAGCAAACGATCTGGATCCAAACATCAGCCACGCGCGACCCTGTCAATGTCAATGTCAATTCAGCCACGATACCCTCGATCCGGTTAGCTATGAGTACGTAGATACGAGCTAAATGACAGTATTAGTATTGCTGCCATCCACCAGCGCAACACGATCATCAACAATTCAATGTGTGGATAACGGATACACAGGATAGATAGCACAAACACCAACAATCCAGTCCGCTCGATTCGCGCGCAAAGTGACCTGTCTGGCACGTCCAAAATATAGCCGAAAGCGTCGGTCTGCCCCATTGACGTGTGAGAGACGCAACACCGGTCCTGTATTCCGAACGGCGGGTGCCTCCAGAAATGCCCCTGCGTTAGTAGTATTCCTCCTCCTTGTCTCCGGCTCCCCAGATGTCGAGAAGCACCACGGGCAGCCTCCCAAGGCACGCCATAATACAGCGGAAGACGCGCGAAGCTTCCCCTGCAGCGGAGGCCAAGAATTCAAACTCTGTTACCTTAACTCCCCCTCGCGAATTCGCTTCGGCGGCAATACCAGTACCGCTTCATTCATCCGCTCATTCAGGTGCTACTGAGTCCCCCCGACTATAGCCCGGGCCCTGGGAGCCCGCGAGGGAGAACAGGGGTGCAGGCCCACGTCCAAGGGCCTCTCTCTCCCTACACCGGATGTCCGACGCCTCCGCCCGACGCGCGAAGCGAATAGCTGGAGACTGACGAGCGCAGGTACCGGAGGGCGTGCCGGGCGTAGGAAGCGGCAGGCGTCAGGCCCGGCTCTACATGTCCTCCTCGCCCCAGTTCGATGTCACCTGCGCTTGCTCGGCTGCGCGCACGCTCCGTGCCTTCCGCGGGGCTTACGCCCAGTACGCGGGATATGCTGGACAGCGCGCCGCCGACGACGCGCGCGCCGACCCACTGCGCGAGTGCGCCGCCCGGGAGGAGGCTGAGCAGGTCCTTGACGTCCCAGAAGTCGCGGTGGTGCGTGATCAGCCCGGATTCGTTGAACCGAAGCCTGGTGAGCACGTGTAGCTGTAAGTGCAGGGGGCTGGGGAGGAGGAAGTTGAGCAAGGGGACGGAGAGGGCTGGGTCGCTTGGGTGGGCGTAGGTGGCTGGGTGGGAGGAGTTCTCGTGTGTAAGCGGTAGGGCGAGGGAGAAGGATGTGGGCGTGCTGGGGTGGGTGAATCGGCCGACTGTTGAGGCTGCCAGCCTGTCGGTATGGAGGCCTGGGAGTATTAAGATATTGAAAGTATGTTCGATTATACATTGTCTATGACCATCTGTGCGCCGTTCGTCAGTACATGGCTCTGGAGTAAAAGTGTTCGTTGCGGCGGCCCTGACATTGTACTCACCAAAGCTTTCGCTCTCTGTGATTTCGCCCACCTCCGTCCAGACCCGTAGCGCCTGGAATAGACTATCGCTCGCGGCATCCCCTTCTAACAGATGTTGCTTGCCGAACAGCGTATACAGTACAACTATGGGCCTGGGTACATCTAGTCTAGACAGGCGGTTCGTCAAGGAGTAAATGTCACACAGGACTGAACGCGACGTTGCGGTCAATAATGGATTTTCGTAGCTGTCAAGCCCGCATTCCAGGCGTCAGCAGTAGGCCAAGTAATACGGGATATCACTCACACTAGAAGAAACATTGATTTGCCCTCAGTACTCAGCTTTGCGGCGGGTGATGGACAAGTCGGTTACGCACCGGCGTTTGATTCATAGTACCTTTCTATCGCGTCCAGGGTAGAGTGTCGACCGTCCCCGTCTCCGTAGACCAGGTCGCACACCTCCAATGCCGTCGCACGCCCCGACACGATCGACAGATCGCCCGTTGCGGCGGTCAGCGTGGACTTTGCTTCGGACGGCGCTGCAGATCTCGAGCGACCGGTGCTGGGGAATGCAACAGAGTTTGTGTTCTCCATAGTCGCTATGCCTGCAATAGTTTAAGTGCAGGAGACTTGGACTGGTGCAGATGGCGAGGAATGGTGTATAGGACAGACGCCATGGATGGCAGGCGAGCGCCACCAAGGGCGGCAGCAATCACATGTAATGCGCGCGGAGTGGGGCGGCCCGATTAGGCAGGTGCTCTCGTTCAAGAATAACAGTCGGCTGCTATCTGCGTTCTCATCGACTCATTCCACACACGCAGCTCGCACGCATGCTGGATATCTGTGTTGTCGGCTTGGGGGGTAGGCTTTGCTTTGCGTTGCTTGCTTAGGAGGGCATGCGGTTACTGAACGCGGCGCCACAGCGATCGGGACGATATACGCCTACGCGCTTGAGCGCTCCGGGCAGGCCAGGGTGACGGCGGTATGTCGGTGCGTACCTAGCCGCTCGTTTTGCGTAAAAGTCCGCCGTTGGGCTCCCTGTGTCTTCTTGTTTCGGGTATTGGTGTGTCGGCTGACCGAAAAAATCGTAGCTCGAACTACGGGGTTGTTTCTAGTCAGTCCCTGCACACAAGTTGACGGGTGAAACATGTCATTCATGCCCGGATACTATCTGATGTAAGGGAGGGGGTTGGACGTCAGCTCCGACCAGCTGGGAAGTGCTGAGGCCTGGAAGCCTTACAGAGGTGGGCTCTTCTCTACCACAGCATTCCCTCTCAGGCACAAAGCGTTCTTCAGTTCTATCCATGTTTTCTAGAAGACTTGATCACCCATACTGACACTTTTTCATGGGTCCAGTGGTATCTAGCGCTGATGACGCGGCCGATCGTAACTACCGTTTCATCCTGTGCTGCTTCAAGTAAGTTCTCCGCTCCTTGACGAATTCATTAAACCCGCAGTGTCCGTGAGACCGAGCGCGATTGGCACGGCCTTCATGTTCCAAAGCCTAATATGTCGGCGGATTTTTACTGACACGGTCTCTTAGATGTCTACCGGATGTCCAGGACACCCCGAGCCTCATCAAGCCTCTCCTGTCCAAGACCTCCGCGTTTGTGCTCATACAGAACGGCATCGGCATTGAGGGAAGCCTCAGGGCCAGCGTTCCTGAAGCCACCACGATCATCTCGGGCTGCGCGTGGATTGACGCCACGGTCGTTGATGAAGGCACCAGAGTCCATCAATCAAACGAGGTGAGTATCGACTATCATAGCTTGTCCTTCTGGTCTGCAGGGTCGAAGCTTAGTAGAACGAAGCTGCCACACGGTCGTCCGCACCATCCTCTGCGGTACCGTTCTGAAGTCCACTGGTACTGGACTGACATATTTTCTTAGGAACGATTGACTATTGGGTACCACCGGTCCCCGAGTCTCGACGCAGCGGCTGAGGCGGCTGCCCGTGAGTCGCTAGACTTGCTAGCCGACCTTCTCCGAGCTGGAAAGTGCCAGCCCGAAGTAACGGACAACATCGAGGCAGCAAGGTGGAGAAAAGTCCTGTGGTACGTGTCTGCAATCCTCGTCATGGATATCTCGACTATTTCGACAAATTGGCCACGCTCGTGCTCCAATTCTCTGAAGTGGATGTTGTGAGTCGTACGAACGGCTACGCAGCAGAATTGGACACTCCTCGTGGACTCCAGTGTTGCCACATTAACATATCAAATGATCGGGAGGGCCGCAGGACGTCGGTCCTCGTTCCGTCCGACGCCCGGTCGAGAACGCGCACCTGACAGCCAAAGATGGGTTTGCTGAGACCTGATTGTGTGTTCGCAGGGCTCTTCACGCCCACTGTAACCTTCGGGTGGCGCGACAGAATCAGTCCTACCTCCATTCGTCGTCACCCTGATCACTTGGCCTTCACGCCCGGGCCGACAATATAGAGACAGGCACCTATGTCTATTGACTCTGTTCTCAGACATATCCCTAACCAGGCTATATTCTACCTCTCATGAATCCCTGCTTAGCTCGTTATCAGTATTGCTATCTTGGATGTGGCAACTGACGGGATCCTTATGTTTCCAGGAACGCGAGCTTCTCCACGCTATGTACTCTGACAAGAACCCCGGTAGCGGATATATTCTGCGCGGAAATACTCAATGACATGTTGCCCGTGGTTCGAGGAGTGATGACAGAGGTCAGATCTCACCCCTCAATGGAATCTCTAATTGGGTTATGCCCCAAGCCCTCTCCCTCGTCATATCGGTACTTTCCGCGACGGCGGTACGCTTACTTTAGACTTCGCCCCTCTCGCATAGGTTATTTCTGTGGCGCGCAAAGCGGACGTGACCCCCTCCGAGCTGCCGGATGAAGTTGCGGAGCCTATCGTCCAGAAAGCGGTGGATGACTATAGTGATATCCACCTCAAGACAGGGGATAGTGCGGGCGCTCGTGTGCCCAGCACATTCAAGCCTTCCATGCTAGTAGACCTGGAAGCGGGGCGGCCGATCGAAGTGGAAGCTATTGTGGGTGGGGTGATAAGAAAAGCCCGAGAGCTTGCCGTTGAAACACCTCGGTATGTCCCATGAGTCTTCTCGCGCCTTCCTTCCCGTCCTTTCGCAGAAGTGGTTCCTGACTGTTTGTTATGTCCCCTTGCCCCAACCGGTCCCCTCAAATGCTGGTCCAGCCTGGATCTCGTGTATGCAACACTGAAAGCTATTCAACGGAATATCCTGAAAGCTCGCGGAAGGCAATAGGCCCAGATGCCTGAACCTAGGGCGATCGGGGGTTGTGCATCTGACGACCCTGGCCTTCTAGGGTTATGCTTCTGTAGTAGTGCGTGCGGGTCGGGCACAAGTCCGCTGAACCTATGTTTATGGAGTAGGGATTAGCAATGTAGTACTATTTCTGTAGATTGACTTCGAGATTAACCATAATTGAGCGACACGTGTTTGGCTAAGTTGTTTGGCCTTGGCTGCTGTGGCTGCGACTTCGATTGTAACGCCCAACCGGTCTTGCGGACTTCCATCGTCACTGCAGTCATTCGGAATGTCATTTGAGCACGCCCCAGTGACCAAAGGTACGGACGAAACACGGATTCGCGTTACTTCTCCAGAATAGAGACAGACTAATCTCCGAATGGGTACTTTTAGGCCTCATGCTGGGCTGTGCGCTAGCATCAATAGTCGCTGGAGTTTTCGACGTGAAACACTACCTTCATCTCCAGGTATGTCGCACATCCCTTTCCTGAGGAGCAGCGCCAGCTCATGCCAGGGGCCTGCGTCGTGCCATCGAACTTTGTTTCGAATGCGGTGCAAAGCTCGTTCCCCACCTTTCTAGGTACCACCAAGTACGCTGCTCATTACAGCTCTGTAAATCAGGCAAGTAAAACCGGACTGAACTGAACCCTTTTGGGCTTTGGGTAGTACTGGCGATTATTCGGCCATCATGTCGCATATTCAAATTCTAGCGACCTATTCCTTGCAGAAATTATCTTGTACAATGTCTCTGTCCCTGTCGAGCGTGCCTTCGGCAGTGTAAAATTCGCAGTAAGTTTCCTGAACTCCGTACTCGAGGACAAGTCTGAATAGCGCGGATGACCGTCTGCCAGTCCTTCGCAGTCATGTCCACGCTGGTCGCCACTATCATCGAGTTTGCATCACTGCTGATTTTCCATCGGTTTGGTTTCAACTACATCCACTCAGGGCCAACCGCCCTGATATTCAGCATATTGTACCAATATTCAAGGCTCATCCCTTCAGTATACCAGTTCCGCATGTTTGGAATCCCACTGTCAAACAAGTCTTACCCTTACTTGCTGGCTCTACAAGTTAAGCTATTTCGAAGGTGGTGTTACGTTGAGCTGACAAAACCTTACCTCCGAGATAGTTGGCCATACTGCACTATCCTTCATCCGTGGCGGTCGCCATAATCGGGATTCTAGCGGGACAGATCTATCGTTCAGACCTTGCGAGTCTGAAATCCTATCGTCTGCCAGCTGTTGTGGTTCGACTGTCCTCGCGTTACGTCTTGCCTTTGATAGGCAGCACACGCCCTCCGAGGAGAAGCCATCTAGCGTTCCCGGACGAAAGGCCCAACCCCGTCCGGACAGTACGCTTGTCTACTGCTGAAGACGAGGTTGTAACCACTGCACCTACAGCACCTCCCGAGACGCCCTCCACAGAACCGACTGGCGATGGGAACAATAGGTCCGTCGTGCGGGAATGGGTCAACGAATTGACAGGGCGCGCAGACCGTGCTTCAGCCGGGCTCAGAGTGCCCAGTGAGACCGAAATCGCGAACCTCACGAACATATTCCCTGACTTACAACGGGACGTCATCGTCGCGGCATTACAACGCAGGTACGTGAGAGTCCAGTTCTCATTCTGCTGAAACTCAGGCTGGCGTAACAGTCCCAACATCGAGGTCGCGGCAGAAACCTTGTTGGCCTCGCAGCAGCAGTAGGAATGCGATAACTTGCATAGATTGACCGATTTGTTCAAGTGCGTATCGCGCTTGCAGAGCAAGAAGAGCGCCACAATTGTATCGGAGAATTTGAGATACAAGTAATTAGTCCGAAAGAGGCGCTGAACCCCGGAATTCTGTCAGGGTCGCGTCAAGCAAGGGAACCCGCGTCTTCCTCCACAGCCCCATCGCCTTCTTCGTCGTCCTCTGTCGCGAAAGCCGTAAGCGGCACCGCGTACAGGCGAATGACAGGCTAAAAACGAGCGAGATTCAAAGGTCAGTCAGTGGACCATGCGGAAGTAGATTTTAGATCAGGGACGGGAAAAAGAAGCCATGCGAAGGGGGACAAGCGATTGCATCATGCAGCCCAACTGGCCCCTTGCGCGTGAGAGAAATAGCGTCGGCGGAACTCACTTTGTTGGGATCCTTGACCAGAACGTACTTGCCTTCCGGCATTTTCATGCAGAGGTCAGTGACGGTCCGCACGATCCCCCAGCCGTTCGCCAAAGAGACGTTCAGCTGCGCGGCGAAGTCCGTTGGCCGCACGGATGTCGTACTCAGTATGACATGCCGTGTATTGTCCCGAGGGTTGGCTCGTGAGATGTACCTGTAGCACACGAATAGGTCAGCCAAGTGAACGGCCGTGAAGAAGGCCAACAAGGTATTACCCGATCTTCATTTGATCAGCTCCAGCCAGGATACTCTGGACCGTCCATTTGGCCAGCTTGCAGCTGTTATTCTTCATCTCAGTCGCGACAACAGCTCCGCGTTGAGAATCCAGCTTGGACCGCCAGTCAGGCGCCCCGCCAGCACCGGGAGCCCGAGGGTCAAACTCGTTCAGTGCACGGATAGTAAGCAGCCCGCTTCCATCCTTCGGGTTGCCTGCGCCATGAAGATATGCGTCTGTCTCCGTCCGTACACAAATCCGGACGTCCTCGTCTTCACTGACCGACATGTCATAAACGCGGTACCGATACCCGCAGGAGGCGAGAGGCTCGGTCTCGTCAGGTCCATAGAAAGGATTGGGCTTGTTCAAGTCGACAGGTGGAGGGGGAGGAGTCTCGATAACTGACTGGAACATGAAGTTCTGGTTGATATAGGTTGCTTCTAGGGAAAGCGACGTAGCGGAGTTGATGGACGGCGTTTCCGGTTGAGCAGTCTTGTCATTCGGATTGGGAGAAGGGTCCTGGGGAGGGTCCGCAGCATTTTCGTTGACAGTGACCGTGTCAAAGGGTCCGCCATCTCGTTTGTCAAAGAACAACTTGTTGCCTTCGCGGACAATAACGATATCCCAGGGATATACGGACCGCGGGGCGCACATCAGCACTGCTAGGATGACGTCCGTTGCATATACGGTCGCAACATTGTTACTTGCAAGCTGAGAGGACCGTCAGAAATCAGACTATCGGTAACATCATGGCATGGCTTACCTGCTGGATTACGGGGTCATCTGAAGTCGTAGTGTTGTATTTGATACGATCCACCAGTTGAAGGGGCTTCTCGGATTTTGTTGTGATACGATCGTACGTCTTGTCGTAAGGGTACAGACGACCATAAGAATCGCTAACAACTAGTCTTAGCGCAAGTAACAGAAAATCTTCCTATAACACTCACATGTCTTCTGGATCCTCGACTTCGAGGCGCAATTTTGCAAGGCGATGGAATTCGATCTCATCCAGCATCTGCCAGTCAGGAGAGATGGCAACTGACGATTCACGAGCGCGACCGCTCTGGGGGAGGCTCAGCTACTGCTAGACATATTGCCTGCTAATACGCACCTTTTCCCAATCTCTCCAGCCTCGCCTGCCGCCCCTCTGTCCGCCTCCTCTGTTATTAACGAAACCACCTCTACCGCCCCTCTGGTTCTGCCGGTTGGCATAGTTAGATCCACCCCTCCCCATACCTCTTCCCCTGACCAGGGCACCACCTCTCCTGGACGGTCCAGCTTTGTTGTCCACCAGGGAGAAGCTGGCTTCATCTTCTACATGGAAGTACGCGAACGCGCTCGCGGTCCCACTGCCGAATGCCTGGGCTGCATCCCTCCTACGACCACCCATAGCACCTCCTGCACGCTGATTGCCCATCGACGCCCCACCGCCGGTCGATTGGCCTCCCGCAAGATCATTCCAGTCCGCGAAACGTCCTAGTTTGTCGGATTTTGAATATGGGGCATACGGAATGTCCCTGAACTTGAACTGGGGCGGAAAGTTGGACGATGACGGTCCCCAGCCGCCATCGGGGTTGTCATTAATGGGAGGCAGAGTGAATCCGACCATGGCGGTAGAGTCTTCACTGCAGAAGACGCGTATCGCCAAAACTTCTGATGATCGCTCGGAGCGTGCGAAAACGGTCTTAGAATCCAACCGCCAACATGAAGTGGGTATGTTCACTCGCTCTGTCGCTGGAATACTTGTATTGAATGTCTTTAAAGTGTAGTGCGCGAGATCAACAGGATAAATGACAGAGAGCTCGATATAATTGCTTCAGGAGGCGCGTCATGGCACGACGAGTACAAGGGTACGTTGCACTTCAACAGCCTGCGCGCGAAGCTTATGCTGCCACACAGATTCCGCCTACATCTTTATTGGCGGTTTACACTTCGACTTGACGGAAGGAGATGTCATCACTATCTTCTCTCAGCGAGTCGTGTCCAGCAGAGTTATATACACATTGTGTCCTGACTGTCTTCCCCCCGCAGGTATGGGGAAGTTATGGATGTCAACCTCCCTCGCGACAAGAACACCGGAAAGACGAGAGGATTTGGCTTCCTCATGTATGAAGATCAAAGATCAACAGTTCTGGCCGTCGATAATCTCAACGGTGCGAATGTGCTCGGACGCGTCCTAAGGGTGGACCATGTGAAGAACTACAAGCAGCCCGGCAAGAAGGGGGAAGATGGAGAGTGGATAGAGCCTGAAGAACAAAGCCTGAATGCCAAACCTCCACTGCTGATTGGTAAGCAAATCAAGGGACCTTCCTCCTCAATATATCACTAAAGTAAAATGACAGAGGACGATGCCGCGTCCGACTCATCTGTATCTTCTGGTCCCCCGATCGACCCTGAGGATCCTATGTACGAATATCTCGTCGCGAAGCGCAAGGAAGAGAAGGCGCTGAAGAAGACGAAGAAGCACAAGGCAAAAGGCAAACACAAAGATGAGACTCCTGAGGAGCGTCGCGCGCGGAAGGAAAGGAAGAAGGAGAAGAAAGCGAAGAAAGCTGGCAAATCCGAGGGGATGCGGGCAGTGGAAGAGTTGCTAGCTGAGATTGAGGGGCGGGATGGTCGAGGGGGTGGAGAGAGGACGCGTTCGCCGGCGCGAGGACGGAGCAGATCCAGGACGCCCGTCAAAGATGCTAGGTCAAGGAGCAGAACCCCTGAGAGGCGAGCGAAGAGGCGATTCACTAGCCGTTCTCCTTCAGACGGCCGTCCTCGCGATGTCCGCTCGCCTCGTCGTGGGCGAGATTCCGGGGATTCACCGGAGCGACGTCGCAGACCTAGGGAATTCGACTTTGACCGCCGGAGCCCTGACCGCGATGATCGTTCGAGGCGGTACAGGGACTGACGGAGGAGGGTTACTCTTTTTGCAACACTGTCTGGAGCTCCAAGGACTATGAAAGGCCAGTGCTCGCGATTGGTTATTGTAATGATAGAATGATAGGAGTGGCCCAACTAGTGACCATGTCCGCTGTGCAGGATCACTGTCAGGGGATATTATGCCCGCTGAATTCATTTTTCTACCCGTGGCCAATTCCCTATCCGTCTCCGAACAGACTATCATTTTTACTGGGCAACAAGACCATATCCTAGTCCATTCCGTCATCGTGCAGACAGACGTGTGCTCTTTCAAACAAGAAGTCTTGTTCAGCGATCGTTGTACTCCTCCCGCTGACATAGAGAACTCTACCAGTTGGGCCCGTCTACAGGCATTGCGTATTCAACTTATGTTACAGTGGCAAGTGATCCAAAGACCATCGGTATCGGCCATGCAGAAGAGCTGCCAGCTGATTTTCTGGAATTACAGTAATATAGCATACAGTCCGGAAAGAGTCTCATTTCCGGCCAGCCCTCTTCTTCTCCTTAGCCTTCTCCCTCTCCATAGCCTTCTGCTCGGCCCTCTCAGACTCGATAGAGCCGAACACGCGCTTCATGCGATCATTATACCTCTTGTCCTTCTCCATCTGCTCCTTCTGCTGCACCTCCGCCAGGAAGCGGGTGTCCTTGCGCAGCTCGCGCAGCGCGCCCTTTTTCTCCTGCTTGTACTGTCTGCGCAGCTTCGCCGCCTCGTTTCGCTCGTGGTCGGGATCGCGGTTCCTAAGGTAATTCGAAGAGGACGACTCGAACTTCGGTATGTAGGAGGGGATGGGGATGGGCTTGTGTGCTTGTAACTGGAGAGGGCGGCGGGCTTGTCGTGCAAATTTGAGCAAGCGGGTGAACATGTCGATAGATGTTGAGAGGCGTTCCTGTCGTGGCATCGTTAGCGAAATATATAGCTTACACAAAATCAGTTGCTTACCTTGAGGCTCTGTGGGAGTCGTTGCGACTCGACGCTTTGCAGGACCTCGAGTATGGGGTCGTACAACTCGATGAACCCTTCCAGCCCTTTGTACATCTCGGCGAACCGCCGCAGAAGATCCAGCGCTAGCCCGAGTAGGTTGAGCTTCTGCTGCTCCCCACACTCCGCCCCGCCCAGCATCTCGCCCAAGTCCGGCTTCGCCGCCTCGAGCCCCAGCTTCCCGGCCTGCTTGCAATTGATCGCGAGCGGCCCGCACGCCTCAGACTTGAAATCCGGGCACGGGAAAAACCCGGGCACCTGCTTCGCCTCCTTATACGCGTGCGGCGCGAGGTGCAGGACAGCGTTGGCCGCGAAGTTCACCGCCTCGGGCGCGAAGCGCTTCGCGCGCGCCTCGTACTGCGCAAAAAGCGTGCACAGGAACAGGCCGCTCGCGACGTCCGCGAGGGAGCGCACGCGCGCGAGCCCGAGGTACGCGCCCATGAGCAGGCGCGCGGGCGAGATCACCGGGTGCTTCATGTCGCTCGTCGACCAGACGGCACCGATTACGCGTAGGAGGCTGAGCTCGGGCAGGCCCGGCCACGTCTTGGACTCTGGGTCGAGCGGCCCGTGCGAGAGTCCGCGTTTGAGGTTTTTGTGCATGAGGATGAGCTTGTCGCGGAAGTGCTCCGCGGCGGGGATGGGATATTTTTCGGTGAGGGCAGCAAGGTGGGGGACGAGGGCGGAAAGGAGGGAGAAACGGGGTGTGGGCGGGGAGGTGATGTAGAGGATGTGGTCAATTAGGACACCCGTTAGTGCCTGGGTACATAATTTGAGTTTTAGTAAACACGAAGAGATGCTACTGCACGAGGCGCACCTGAAGTTTGAACTTGTTGTCCTCCGCTAAGCTTGGGTGGTGCAGGGTACGAATCCGCTGGACGACCGTAGGTACATCTTCCTCCGCGACATCTTCGATGATCTCCAGGAAGTCCTCGTGCGTCTGCGGAGCCGGAAAGGTATAAGGCAGCTCTTTCGAGCCAGGTTTTGACTTCCCCTTCGTATTGCTCTTACTTGCACTCCTCTTTTTCTGCGGCGCGACGAGGTCTTCATGCTCCCCTTCCTCCCCTTCCTCGTCGCTTTCGTCCTCCGACACCCACTCCCCTTCCCCCTCTTCACTCTCATCCTCGCCTTCCTCTGACTCCTCCTCACTGGCGCTTACACTCTCATCCTCCTCGCCACTCCCCTCCCCTTCCTCCTTCAAGCCCTCACCCACACCCACCCCGTCCCACTCAACGCCCTTCGCATCATAAAAATCATCCTCCAAATCATCCCCTCCTCTCCCCCTCCCCCTCCCCTTCTTCTCCCCCTCCTCGTCCTCGCTCTCGTCCTCGAGCCCCTGCATCCTCCTCACCCGCCTCCTCTCCGCCCTCTCGAGCCGCTCCTTCTCCTCCAGCGCCAGCTCCTCCTCGGTCTTCGTGCGGTCCTTCGGCTTCGCGCGCTTCTCAAACGCGAGCTCGCGCACGACCTGCTCGTACTCCGCATCGCGCGCGCTCGTGCCTAGCAATTCCGACACGGGCTTCTCTTTGTCTTCGGGAATGTTGGAGGAGGCGAGCAGGGTGCGGAGGGCGTCGAAGTCCGCGTCGAGCTCGTGCAGGAGGGACTGGTCTTCTTCTTTCTCGGCTTGGCGGCGGTACTAGTGGTGGCAAGGGGTGAGCAGGGGAAGGGGGAGGGGAGGGGGGACGGTACCTTGTGCTCTTTGCTCTTCGCGATGACTTCGGCCATGACTTCTGCTTTGGTCTTTTTGCGGGGAGGCTGGGTGTAGAGTAGTGTTAGTTAGAATAGGGTAGGTGAGAGGGGATAGGGATGGTGGGACTCGCCTCGCCGTCGGCGCCTTCGCCCTCTTCCTCATCATCAAACCCGCCGAAATGGGCCGCTTTGACTGTCTCACTATCAATCTGACCTGTGCATCCCGCCCATTAATCCTTGCCGAGCAGCTTCCCAGACCAAAATATATAAACCATACCTCTCGTCTCCTCATCCTCGTCCTCGTCCAGCGCCAGCCCCGCCCCGTCAAAGTCGTCCAACTTGGACAGGCTCTGCCCGTAATGCGTGAGCTCCATGTCGGCGTCGTCGTCCTCGAGGTTGAAGAGGTCGCCCTTGGACGCGCGCTGCCGCTCCTTGGTGAAGCGCTCGAGCATGCGCTCCTCGAGGGACATCGAAGGGTCATTTTCACCGAAGCGGCGGTCGACGACGCCGCCGGCGTGGTTCTTGGTCTCGTATTCTTTCAGTAACGTCCGCCGGCGCTACAAGGTAGAAAGAAGATATATGACATTCGTCCTGAAAGCAGCATAGACAACACTACACACCTCCTCGATCCCAGCCTGCTTGCTCTGCGCGGGCTTGCCCACCACGCCCTTGATCTTCCGTCCCCCAACATCATGCTTGAGCTTCGTGACCTTGACATCGAACGGATTCAGCTTCTGCTGGATCTCCTTGAGCTTCGCGGCCTTCTTCTCCTTGTCGACCTGGTCCGGCTTGGATGCCCCAGACCGCTTCCGCTTCTTGCTGGGCGGGGGGCGGCCGTTCAGGCCGGCTTGGGTGATGGCGGACTTGAGCTGGGTGAGCTGCGAGCCTTTGCCCATCGTGTTCGGCGGCGTGGAGGGTTGGAGGTGGCTGAGGACACTCGGAAATTTAGGACAGAGCACGTGGCTGAGATCGTATTGATACACTGGCAGTGGGACCCACAACGCCTTGCTTTCCGGTCAGCGTGTTCCGCTGCCTAGGGGCTTGTAGACGGCGTGCGTCGGCTGGTTTCTTGTAGGTTCAAGATAATTTATTGGATTACCTGGCCGCATAGACTGACTTGCCGATACAGTGTCCATCGAGCTCGCCTATCCACGTGCAATCTGGTTCGATTGCCGCCGCTGGGACTTTGACGGACGCTTCCTTCAACGCACTTTGCGGGGCATCATCAGACTGGCTCTGAGCTGTCTTTGGACTCTGGCGACCCGAACACTTCGCTGGCCTTCTCTTTCGTCTTGACGTCTTGGTCACCACACTATTTCTACAGACTTGCCCGCCCCTCGTTTCGAACATTGAACGACCACCCACGACACTTACGATGCTTTCCAACGACGCACCGTCGACCCCGCGCCCCCGGCCCCCGGCCAAAGCCCGCCGCACACCCTCGGGCAGATACAAGGACACCCCTCCGCCCCCGTACGCTCCAGCCGTAGCATTCCCCTCCGATGCAGACCTGTCAGATGCACCCCTGGACACCATCTTGGGCTCCCCCATTTCTATGACCGCTCAGAGGGTCCGCTTGCTGTCTAGTGCAAGCCCTGACCCTGCCTCCCGTCCCTCGCCCGAGATCGAAGAATGGGTGAACGAGAGGTCGAGAGAGGAGCTCTCGGAGCTGCTCCTCAAAGCTGAGAAGGCTATCCGGGATCGTGAAAATGGTATATTCCCATTTATCTGTATCATTATATTCAATACCACTTCAGAAGGAAGAGCTTCATGCGGGATGTCATTGACTTCAGCGTCAGGTCGGACTGGACCTGCCAAAGAGGCACCAATGCACCGTCTTCCGGGCTTAGCCTTCATCTAATGCAATGTTGTTACATCCTTGAACGATAAACTGACACCACCCTAGAGCTCGGGCTGACCTCGGCCGTATGCAAGAACCTCTACCAAGAAAACGTCAACCTCAAAACCAAACACGACGCGCTCATCTCCCGCCTCCCACCCTCTCAGCCCATGTCCCCCATCGGCTCGCCCTCTCCCTCCTCCCTCTCCCTCTCCTCCCCCTTCGTCTTCCCCCCCAGTGTCTCCGCCTCCTCCACCCTCTCCCACCCGCCCTCCCCCTCGGTATACAGACGGCACGCCCGGCGCATAAGCGTCACGCCGTCCGAGATCTCCCGCCTGGCGGACCAGAACAGCGAGCTGATGCTCAAGCTCGAGCGGCTCGAGGCGGAGAGCGCGCAGGCGGACCAGGCGGGCCGGCGCCAGCTGCGCAAGCTCGAGCGCGAGATCCAGCTGCTCAAGGACGAGCTCGAGCGCACGCAGGCACGCAGTGCGGAGTTGGAGGAGAAGGCGGGGAACCAGGGCGCGGAGGTGGACGAGGAGGAGCGGGAGGTGAAGAAGCGCGAGCGCGAGGAGAAGCTCAAGGGGATACGGGCGAAGACGGTGACCGAGGAGGGCGAGGAGGAGGTGCGGGACTTCGCCCCCGGCGGCGCGCTTTCCGCCAATTCAACGCCGAACGTGACGCCGTCCTCTCGGCGGATACGGCGCGACTTTTCGTTCCCGCCGCGTTCGTCCTCATCCTCATCCTCCACACCCACCGCAAGCCCGACAGTCGCGCACTTCCCTCACCACTCGGAGAATACCAAACGCGACCTCGATGAACACCTCGGTCCGGGCGACGCTGACGAGGAATCCTACTTCGCGCGCCCCGCGGAGCCCTCGCCCGACTCCCTGCACGAGTCCGCGCTGATCTCGCAGCTGCTCGCCAAGATCCGCGAGCTCGAGCAGACGAACGCGCAGATCTCGGAGCAGCAGCAGCGCGCGAGCGGGCGCGTGCGCGCGGCGCACCGCGACGCCGCGAAGATCCGGCGGCTGTACGAGGCGCTCGGCGACGAGTCCGTGGACGTGCAGATTGTGGAGAACGACGGCGAGGAGGGGGACACTCCCGATGCTGCCGAGCGCGATACGGTCCGGTTTCGGAGCCTCAGGCGGACGCTCGACGCCGAGGGCGAGCCGGCGCAGTTCGGGCTCGATGTGCTCGAGTTCGAGAGGGGCATCAAGCAGGGGATGCATAGTACGTCTCGCGGGGATGTGGAGACGCCCAGTCGTGGCAAATCGCGCCATCGGAGATCCGTCGTAGGGCTGTTCGAGGACGCGCTTTCCCCCACGAGCCTGGATGGCTTGTCGACTACCGTGGCGGGGTCGTCGCCCCCGCGAGCCGCAAGTCCGAGTCCGAGTGTGATGCTGCCGGACCTGTCCTTCCCGTCGACGGGGGTCGACCTATCGGCGGAACTGGAGGCGAAGCATACGCTGGGCAGTGAGTTGGGGAGCGAGTACGGCGACGACCTGGCGGGCGGGGGCGGGGTCAACCATCACTTGCGCACAACGAGTCTGTACGGCCTCAGCCAGTTCAGTGTGGCGGGCGGGGAGGAGGGCGACAGCGTGCCGGCCGACTCGCTGGAAGTGCCGGAGAGCTCGAGCATTGGAAGGAGGCGCGGGTCGCTGTTGGCTGAGGAGGCTATCGGCGGCGGATCGGTGCAGCACGCCCCGAAGGAATCCAAGCGCGAGTCGATGCGGCTCCGGAACCGGCTGCTCTCCCAGACTGTCCGGGCGCGTACGAGTCAATGGGTGGACGGGCGTTTCAAAGGGACGCTGCGCTCGCAGACGGACTCGGCTCTGGACATGCCGAAGCCGTCTCCGCTACGGCGCGAGCCCTCGTCGTCCAGCACCATTGTGCCTGTGTCTCGCACTGCCAGTCTGTCGAAGCTCTTCGAAGGAGCTGTGGGCACTGTCTTCCGGCCTGCCTCTTCCAGGCGAAGTTCTTCGCCATATGCGGAAGAGAAAGAGCCCGAGGCATCTGAATCGGCAGAAGCTGATAAGTCTGTGCTGAAGACGGATGAGGAGAAGAAGGGCGTGGTGGCCGTCGTCCTCGATCTGTGGCTGTGGCTCCAGTTCATCATCATTATCCTTGTGTTCTTGTGGGCCATGGCGAAGAGGGGTCCAAGGAACGTCTTGGAGGAGGCTGAGCGGAGAAGGGGTACTGCTACCGGGCAGCGATGAGATAGCGCTACTGCCTTCAGCGTTCTTGGTGGATGGATCCCACACATTGCATTGCTATGCCTATCACATGTATATACTTCTGCGCATATTGCATCCATATTCACTACACCACACTATCAGATGGGTGGAAAGCGAAGTGTTGTGCAGATTATTCTATTCTGCAATCTTAACATGGCCCTCGACCTAAGTTAACGACCTTTTTTACATGTATCAATGCCTGCTGATCAATATTCAATGGTCATATGCTGCCATGATAAGAGGAGCCCGTCAAGTTGCCATTTCAAAAATTCCGCCGTGAAGGATTTAAATTGGTCTACAGGGAACATTGCCAGCTGAATTCGCTTCTTGCCCATGGTAATATCATGTCCATGATCAATGGCTATACTCACTAGTATTGCATGAGACTGTTGAACCTGTGTAATCCAACTCTTGTCTCTGCCCAATCACGGTTGAACTAAGGAACGGATTTGACAAGGTGCCGACATATAGATCAATTATCATGTCCGTCGATTCCAGGATACTTCGCCACGCTCAGTGAGCATGAGACACTGTGACGCTATGTATACCTGGAAAGAGGTGGCGCAGGAAATTACAGTCTTGCTCTGCCGGCCAGATGTAACAACAGAATAAATCCAGGTGCGATCCGATGCAAACGCTGGAAAGCGTCGGGTTTTGCAGGGCCACTCCGGGGCCGTCGAATTGCTGCAGGTGGGTTGGTGGATTGAAATCCGAAAAGGGCCGCCCTGAAGGATTGACAATTATCGACAAGGTTTTTAGATTCCTGGCATGCTGCGCAATCGACCAGAGGCACGCAGGTGTGAGGGGAACTTGATCCTCGTGTACCCACTCAGCTCCAAATTCAGAGGCCCAACACAACAACAACTCTACCAACTTCGGCCGAGCCATTATCATGTCACTCAGTAGCGGATCGTCAACCTTCGATAGATTGCACGATTGGACGTGGAATTCTCGGAGGTCGTTCAAAGCAGAGAGCATCCGGAATGCTTCGGCAGGAAATGGCCTTGGAAATCCTGTGCGATAGTACTGAATATGGAGTGATGTCAAAGACTTGAGAGGTGCCAGGGCGGCACTGATGCCCAAGAACGTATCTTCTGAGCGTTGGCACATTCGCAACTCAACAGCACGCAGTGGCGAGCGACGAAGAAGTTGCGCCCAATGGACCCATTCTTGTACCATCCACCCTTCTCCAACGACATATCGCAGAAAAGGGAACGTCGTGCTCGCGAGTATCTGCGCATGTCCATGGGGTTCCCGCGGGCTATCAAGTTCAGGGGCTGCCAGACGGTATGACAGCTCAACTGCCTCCAGCCTAGGCAAGGAGGCCAGACGCTGTACGAAAGGCCAGAACACCCGACGGTCAGTGTCTAAAACAACACGTCGCAGGTACTGGAAGGGTTGCATTTCAAGCGCTGGAATGCAGTTTTGCGGGTCGACCGGCACCGTATCCAGAGTGAGGTGTTCTAGATAGAAACCTTGCAAAGCACTCTGCATTGCACACGCAGATGCGTTGGTTACCGTCGTATTAAGTTTCCATTGCATGTTTAGAGTGGTCAGCTGCGGATGTATGAATTGTGCGATGAGAGGCACTTGATCATCGTCTGTAATTCGAACCGCAAGACTTCGCAAATTAGGAAGTAGCAAACGGAGCGGTCGAAGCAAAGAGATCTCAAGCAAAGCTCTTTGGTCCAGGAACAGGTAGCCTTCATCGAGGTTTCATCATCAAGGTCAATTTGGATTTCCTTGACGCGAGAAGCATATACATCGAGTCGAGACAAGTCGCCCAACGATAGTGGCCTCTTGATAGTCTGATTCGAACAATCAATTTGCGGATCAGGTATGACCGGTAGTGACACCCACATAACAACCTTGTTTGTATTCCCACAAGTCCTTGGGTGGACATTCAACCAACGGCAGAAGCCCGTTCTGCTTGCTCCACAGGACGTCTGCAGCAGGGGTCGAAGAACGAACGGCATGTCCTTGCCAGAGCGGCAACAGTACGCTCGCTTTGGCTGTACTTATAACGTAGCCTCGCATATGATGTACATTATGTCGGTGACTGCGAGACAAGGATGCACACCCGAGTTTGGTAGACGCGCAGGAGCAAGCCTGGTAACACGAGGCAGCGCGATTCCAGACGAGAGAACCACGCAGCGGCCACGCGCTCATCGAAGATATTCAGCGGCCCACCCGAGTCATACAGAAAGTAAGTACCTGTTACTGCATGTCTCAGCCACGAACTATGCAACGGCACGGAAGGACCCCCAGCCGGTGTGGCAAGGTTATAGAGATACCGAACCGTTCAGTTTCCAGACGATCTTCATCAAAGAACAGGTGACGAGAAATAGTTAGAGCAGCTGAGACCGTCCCTGACGGCAAGCAACGTCGAAGTCCATTATAGCACGGATCAGACAACCAAGCGATTTATGCAGGCCGTCGGCGTTAGCGTCGAAGGCAGGAAGACGCGTACGGAAACGTGTACATGTGGCTACGACATCGTAAACAGCCTCAAACAGCAATCCGCGTCTGTCTCAGGCTCCTAAACCACCGTCCTTAGCGTTCTCGCTCCTCCTTTACTAGGGCGCACGTGCAATGTTATGTAATACAAATCTATTTTTAATTTATTACCGGATACAGAACGAACAGAGGAGGAGAACGCTATAGGACGGCTGGAAGAAATCGTCTCCCCGAGATCACCGAGTATGACTAAGCATTCCGAAAGCGGTAGCGGCTGAGGCCTTCCACCAGCAGTCGGCGGGCAATGCAAGGAGCACCTGAAAACTAGGAGGGGTAAAAACTATATAGAAAGGCATAAAAAGCTATCTTACTGGTACCCCCCCAGTGTACACACCCCCCGTGAACTATTGTCCCTCAGAGGAATTTATCATGGCTTGTGAACCCAATGTTCAGCCCTCAGTGACACTGTCAATGCTTGTATTTGCTTTTTGTCTATGTCAGACCATTGGTGC